ATGAAAATATGCTCCGTAAAAAATGTGGTAAACTTCTTTCCGGAACGGAGGAATTATGATACTCTGCTCTACTGTAATATGGAATGCATCGAGTTTGAACTTTCAAAACGTTAACCAATCACAGTAGTTTTTGTTCTGCACTGCAATTGATCAAAAAGAATGACAATTATAAATGTGATATTGAAATATGCAGGTGGCAGAATTTATTTGTACTACGTAGTAAAACAGATCATCTTACAGAGGTGGTCGGCTTTTTTAGTGGTGTCGGTTTTTTCCGGGGTTCACTGTAGTGACGCATGAAGTTTAATGGCATTTCCAATAGCTGCTTTTGTTTTGGCAGAAACCAGGTGGAAGCGATGTGCTACCCATACCGCCTACTGCGATGTGTTGAACAATTTGCTCATGGTTGTCGGCCAAAGTCATTCGCTGCTTCATGCTGAGTTTGTTCCAACCAGCATGGTCAATTTGAATTTCAAACTCCACCTGACATACAATAAACAAAAATTTATGAAAAATGTTCGCTTAATTCGTATTGGCCTATTTAAAAGTCAGGTGGAAATTACTCCGAGTAGCAATTATAGTTTGCCGAGCCCCCACGAGTAGCAACGTGAATGGATGTGCTGTCACCGTTTGGGGTAACCCAGGTAAGGGACCGCATTTTTCGACTTTTACTTCGAATGGCCTTGGGCGTATGCGGAGTGCAAACACGCGCGCTGCCTGCCCTTCCAGTGGCACAACGCGTATAGACAGACTCGTCTTTCATGGATAGATGCATAATCAATCGGAGGGAACGCGGTTAAAAAAGCTTCTACATTATATTTAAGAAATGGAGAATCTTTACAGCAACAACCGCTTCTTCCATCTGCAGGTTCTGCCATCCCCAGCTCGACGGTATTCGTCGGTGAATAGCCATCAAAGCCACGACATCTGCTCCACGTATCCACTGGGTGTATTGTTCAAATTGAATCGTGCCGTGCGAATTGCCGATTCGCCTAATTCCCAATCACATGTGGATGTTCGTGAAGAACCTTCCTTGCAGATCGCCGACGGGAAGGACATGAAAAAGTCGAGGACGCCAATCTCGTACACATTTCACGTGGCCTCTTGAAGTTGTGACATTACTCACCAGTAGGGAAATATAGCGGCAGAGGCTCGACGCCAACGCTGAAAGGGAGTGCACCATGTGAATGGGGACGCCACAAAGTCGGAATGGTGCAAGGCAGCCGGTCCATGGCCTCCCTCTGGTGCCAAGGAGTCAAAGAGTCAATAGGGCGTCTCTTTGGCACGGCCCTGGCTTGTATGTGCGGACTGATGTCACACTTTATGACCCAGGTTGTTCCTGCCGTAAAAGATCGATCGCACACACAAGCACGTTGAAGTAATTTGAGCCAGCCTGTGGTCTACCGTGAGAAAGGTCTCTTTCTTCCACGTGGCCGAACTTTTGTTGGTCGCGTTCTCCGCGCCACGCTGTCGTTGTGGCGCGTGGACTGGATCCACCGACGGCAGAGGCGCCGCCCTGCGCAAAACGACCAATCCGTCTGACTTGCACAAAGACACGTTCGCAGCAACACGCAGTCGAGCACAGAATCAAGGGCGATGAAATTTCCTTTCGTGTTCCATGGCACCCACGTGGGCTAGCTACACCATGCCAGCGATGGTGCACTTCACCCGCTCGCTTTCCCCTCGCTGACCGTTGGCGTCGTTGCGGCATGCTTGCCATAAACTGGCGCCAACCTCTTCCCCATGTAGAAGAGTCACCGCCGCGGGTGCATGTCCCGTGTATCCACTCTTTGAAAATGGCGTGACAAGGTTGCTAAAGGTTGCGCGTGAATTCGTTGTCCCCATCCTTCTGCCGACACATCTTTGTCTCGTGGCACTGCCTGTTGCGCAGCGAAACTGCACACTCTGGTCCGCGGGAAGTCCGTATCATGAGAGAGAGAGAGATCGTGTTGTTCGCGGTTGGTCGCGCGCTCCCACACAACCCAATCTGCTTCCAAGTGCCATTTCGCCCACAGATATGAGCCCTGCCACAACGAGCGTCATCCCCGTTTCGGACACGTCGCTCCCAGCAGGCACAGCAACGCGGCCTCAGAAATTGCTGGACAAACTTGTTGGAATCCCTCCACTGCACAAGCCCACCGCCACCGATGCTACCAAAAAGACGTCCGTCCTCGCCCAGACCTCGCACCCTGTCACGGTCCCTAGCATGCAGCACACACTGGCGTGGCTACACTCGCGTGATTTGTCCCACAAGAAGGTGTCCTGTAGCTTCATCCAGTCGTTGCTGCATTGCTTTCACACCCAGCAACAAAACGCAACTCCGCCTCTCCCTCTCGGCTGGGGCTCCACAAACCTCACGCTCTCGTGGGCTCATCGTTCGTTTGGTGTGCTGAACGCCCCCATCTACGCCGACATTGCGGTCGCCAAGCGGATCCTAGCTCCCGGTGGTTGGTTTGCCACCATCGCCACGAGATCCCAGCGGCTCGAGTTTGCAACGTGGGTCACTGAGTTTCTTGGTGCCGTGCGAACTTGCGATGGGTTGAAACATGAGTTGCTGGCCGAGAAAGCTCAGCTGAGCAGCCACGCAGCTGATGTCACAACCACCTATGACCGTGTGCGATCGATCTACGACAGTGCGCGCCAGCTCTCCAGACAGCATGACGTGGCAGTGTACGGTGCAAAGTTGCTCCAGTGCCTCGACGAAGTGGAGACATTGTTGCGGGACGAAGAGCGGGTAGTCGGCGACGTCAACTCCGCGGCTTCCACGGAAACCCTGGAGAACGTCGCATTCAGCATGCTCTTTGGGCGGCTCGGAACACAGATAAGGCCCCTCACAGACGACCACCATGGCGTGTACATGGCAATGCTCATGGCGTGGATGAGGTCGACATTGAGTCGGGAAGAGTTTGACGCGTTCTTTCACCTGCTCCAGCCCCAGGTCAAGGAAGGGCTTGCAAAGAACTGGAAGCCTTACGCACGCCACATGAAGCGCCTCATCCCGTTTCAAGACAGTGAGCTACTACACGACCGGGACAGCAGTTCCTGTTCAGGATTCACAAGGTCGTGCGCCGAGCAGGGCCACCCCATCGGCATCGCTCGTTGATTTGATATGCCCTTCATGTTCTGATTGTCCTTATTAAATGTGAATCATGCGTATTGTATATTGCCGGGTTCTACGGCAGCGCTTTGGGTGAACCACACCACGTGGACATCGCGGGGGCACACAAATCGCCTTGTCCGTGCGCAAGTGCAGAGGACCGTAGGCTTGCAAGGTATACCCACGTGCTGACTCGCAGGAGAGGACGTACGTCGCCTCATGCGCCAGAGCATGTTGCGGTCAACGATGAAAACACATGCAGTGTGAGTTGAAAATGCCCTGGCAAAGGCGGGTAGAAAAACACAGTGGATCGTCTATGTCGCACCTCGGTCCATCCATTCCTTCGATAACGCGCTTTCCATCGCTGCTTGTGGTGCACGTTGGCTTCGGCATTCGTCTACGTAGCATGGCGATGCCGCCAAGTCCATGCGCTGAGCACCGCGTCGTCGTCGCGTCCAGGTCTTCAAATTGGCACATTGAAGTTCCAAGCAGCATCCGGATAAAACGTCGTTACGTTAAACGCCAAGTCGTGCATTGGCAAATAAAACCAATCTTTTACGGATAAACTGGGGCACTTTTTTATGCAATTTGTGCGGGTTTTCTGCCGACAACGGGCCCTTTCTTCCATGGACACCACAATTGAACTCTCACTGTGACATGCTCAGCTCCAAGGACCTTCATGACCCCAACACGTGCCCCGCCTGTGGCGACTGGCTCAAGGACCACAAGGACGTGTCCTCGGACCAACTGGACCCCTCCATTGTCCACGTCGAACTCGAAAAATTGCGTTCGATGAATCACCAGGTCGAAGCCCACGACAAGGCATCCCGGAAAAAGACTACCAAGGGCGTGGCCAGTACAATCGCATGGCTTCAGCAACACCAAGAGGAAAAGAAGGCGTCAAGCGGGTTCATCCACTCGTTGTTGCATTGGTTTCGTCACGACGACGACGACAAGGTGTCACACTCGCCACTCCTGCCTGTGGAATGGGCCCAGAGCCGCGTCGATGTGGACTGGACCGAACGCAGCTACGCCGTGCTCAACGCTCCATTCTACGCGGACATGAGCCATGCGCGCCGCATCTTCCTTGAAGGAACCCTTCGCGCGGCGACCGACGACGTCGCAGCCGATTTCAAGACGTGGATCGCAGAATTCATGGCACAATTGGGGCAATGCCGCGAGTTGAAAGACGAATTGCTCGAAGAAAAGGCAGATGTGGCCAACAAGGCCATTCGCGTTCGCACCGAATACGATGAAGTGCAACGACTGTACGAGGCGACGGTGGACTTGGACCCCAAAACCCCCGAGTACGAAGCCAGCGTCGTGGCGCTCTTTGAAGAAGTGGAAGCAACGCTGGTCGACGAAGCGGCGGCCGTGGCCGAGGCCAACCCCCTCGTGATGAACCCCGACTCGGAAAACGAAGCATTTAGCAACTTGTTTGCTGGCATGGAAGCCACTGACGACAAGCATGGCGTCGTCATCGCCAAGATCGTCGCATGGATGAAGAACAACCTGCCCCGCGCCGATTTTGACGCCTTCATGGCTCTTTTTGACAACCAGGTGCAGCACCAACTGGGCGGTCCCTGGATGCAATTGTACGCACAGCATCTTCACCGCCTCGAACCGTTTGCAATCGAGTTTCACTGCGCCTTTGTCTACGGACGAAGTCGAGCCGACGTGGTCGCTCCCCTCCACGACCCCACGCAGCCCTAGAACTTTTTACCACACATGGTCTCATATATAATGCATCGCTGTACAGTTTACCACGCCCGTGGTGCCCGTCTCGAACGCGAACGTCATGGCAGGTGGCGCCCATCCAGCCCGGCGAATCCTGCGATCATTTCGCTTGGAGATTCGATTGCGTCTACAGGTTGACTGCTTGTCCGGTGCATGAAATTCCCAGCCACGCGAACCCCCGTGCGAGTGGGCATGGCGCATGAGATCTCCAAGATCTTCAGCATGGATATCTGTCGGCTGGTGGAGGTTCGGACGAAGTGTTTCTCGGGACGTATATTGTGAGAGAGGTTGACTCGCGACTCTAGCCGTCATCATCAATCTATGGAAGGCACGAAATTGAATGGTCTGTTCATGGCATGGTCGGGCGGACCATGGGCAATGGATCCAGCGCATTCGTATGGACACACGACCAAATTCGTCGGGCAAAGCCCAACCTCCATAGAAAACCAGCATCGTGAGCCCACCGCTCTCATTTGACTTGCCCGATCTTGGTTTCCGAAGGGTGCCCGTTCAACACTCGCACGAGCTTACGCAATTCCTTTGTGCCGATTGGAATGTGCAGAACCCGGCGCTCTGGTGCGCGCGCATTCATGTGTGTTGCGTTGTCGAGGGTCCACAAGCTGAGCGTTTGATGGCGTCGTGCGTGCATTCGATTTCACGCGAAACGCAAGCGAGTTATGGTTATGTCGAGCAGGTCGGGGGCTGCATTGGCATGGAGTTCGTGTGCTGCTGCCAAAGGAAACCTCCTTTCCCCCCAGCCAGGTCACGATGACGACGGAATTCCAGAGGTAACATTTTAAACGTAGTAGCTGCACAACATCGTACAAAAATAGATGGAATGTTTCGTCGTGCGAGCAACCAAGTACTCCATGACATCCTTCAGTTTCTCGTCGTGACCCGGCTCAAGTTCAAGTTGCCTTTTATCCACCGGTGGTGGCTTGAGTTGAGATGGTGTTGAAGCACGTGAAGGACGTCCTGATCGTGGGCGGCGGCGTCATGGGGTCTTCTGCAGCCTACCACTTGGCCAAGAAGGCCCCACACCTCAAGATCACGGTGGTCGAGCGCTCGTTTGCGGTAAGGCATCCCACCACCGCACGAAAGGAATATCGATTGACACGGTGGCTGACGCAGTACAAGCGGGCGTCGGCGGTGCTGTCCGCTGGAGGCATTCGCATGCAATTCTCGGAACGGCCCAACATCGAAATGAGTCAGTATGGAATTCAGTTCCTCAAGAACGCTGGCCAGTTGTTGCATGTGCCAGGGCACGACCCCGTCGACGTCCAGTTCACGGAAGGCGGGTACCTCTTCCTGGCGACCGATCGCGGCACCAAAGTCCTCGAGCAAAACCATGCGACTCAACGGTATATGGCTTTATTCGTTATCTTCCACGACCGACCCCTCAAAACGTTGCTGGCAGGTCCGTGAATGCTAAGGTCGTACTCATGAACCCGTCGGACCTCTCTGCTCGATTTCCGTGGCTGGATACGACGGACATCTCGTGTGGCTCTTTGGGCCTTGAGGACGAAGGATGGTTCGACCCGTGGTCCTATTTGACTGGGCTCAAGAAGGCCAACACACATCTCGGCGTCGAATATGTCGAAGGAACGATTGTCGAACCCATGGGCAAACGTGGTGACGTTATCGACCACGTCACAGTCGCCACAACGCAAGGCGAAGTGGCTCAGTACGCGCCGGGCCACGTGGTCAACGCCGCCGGCGCTTGGGCGCATGAAGTGGGCACGCTGGCGGGCATCGCGGACCTCCCTGTTCGGGCGAGGTACATGGCTCGACACCATGCATTCGTTGGCTGGACGTCGCATTTGTCGTTAGAAAACGCACGGTGTTCGTGTTTCACTGCCCGGAAGCTTCCAACTGGACCGGCACGATGGCATCACCGCTTGTCGTCGATCCAAGCGGGGTTTACTTTCGTCGGGAAGGCGGCGCCGGGCAATTCATCTGCGGGGTGTCTCCTGCTGCCGAAGACGACCCGGACTGCGACGGCGACGACCTTCTTCAGCCGGACCACGCCCTCTTTGACGACAAGATCTGGCCCACGATTGCAGCCCGAGTTCCCGCGTTCAACGAGCTCAAGCTTGTGAACTCGTGGGCGGGTTTTTATGACTACAATACTTTCGACCACGTACGTCCCTGAGTGTGTCGTGTGGCTGGCATGCTGTCGAAAATGATGCTGGTGGCGCAGTCCGGTCTGACAAGTGCGTGTGTGGTGTCCCATGTAGAATGCGATCTTGGGCCGCCATCCCGACGTAGCGAATTTGTTTTGCATCAACGGATTCAGCGGTCATGGCCTCCAGCAGTCGCCTGCCGCCGGTCGTGCGATCGCCGAGTTGATCGTTGACGGAGCGTACACGTCGCTGGACTTGACGTGCTTTGGCTTTGACCGTATCCGCGCCAACGCGCCCTACTTTGAGAAGAACATCGTGTAAACGATCTATACCACGCATAGAGAACATGCGCCGCGCGTTCGGTTTGTTGGCTCCGTTGTCCAGTAGTGGGAAGGGGGAATGTGGACGCGATCGAGACGACGATCGACTTGCTCAGCGATGACCAGTGCCTGTCTCTGGTCGATTTAAATGGCGTGCACGACTGACCACGTTGCTTGAACCGCCTTTGAACGAGTCGATAATGGGAAAACCTTTCCAAGACGTTCCAACGCGGAATCCAACCGAGCGATGTACGGCCAACATGCAGCATGCATCGATATCTCTCTAGACAAGCGGCTGACATTGCTTGAACGGCGTGCGAGGACCTAGCCTAGCGTGCCTCGGTGCTGCGTCTGCTGAAGGGACAAAGGTCGTTGGTGTGTTCGACGTTGAATGGACAGCCAAGCAGCGCGCTACCACTCGTGTGGGCAGGTTACGTTTCAATCGGGGCGAAGGAAGCGTTGCGGTGGCGGCGGAGGCACTTGGTTGAGCAGTACACGAATTCAAACTTGGTGTAGTACTCGCCAACGATCGGCTCGAACTGGTGCCGGCAGATGGAGCACGTGAGGTAGTCCTTTGGAAGCGCAGCGGGCGGCGGCTTGATGTACCCTTGGAGCAATGTCAGGGGGTTCTGAAAAATGAGGGTTGTCCACAGTTCCTGTTGTTCAGGCGTCAAATCTTGACCGAAGAGTTTGGTTTTGAAGCTAGTCAGCGCATGCACCATGCCTCCGCCGCCACATCGATGGTACTGAATCGTTTGGGTGATGGTGCTGCTGAGCAAGATGCGGCTCGAATGCGTGGCCAGCAACGATTGCACACACGAGGCAATCTCAAAATCTCGTGGCACGGCGGCGGACGACCACGAATGGAAGGGTATGGCATCGCTGACGGCCGAGAGACCCAGCAGATCAAAGCTCAAGTACACGCCGGTTGTGGCTGCGACGCGCTGCAGGGCGGCGGGCTCTTGCCACCACACGTCACAGTGACACAGCACCACACGATGGAGGTGGCCGCCGAATTGAGACCGATACTGGTCGAGGAAGGTTTGGACTGGAGGGAGAGCAGCCACGATGTGAGGTAGCGACGTGGAAGGTGGCGTGGGCGAGCGAGCACACACCTTCGGCTAACGATGGAGAGTGTGGTTCAAATGAAAAGTACACGGGGGCGTTTGTGACGCGTTGGGCCTACAGCGACCTGGTCAGTGTCGAACTTGATGAGATGCGAGTGGTACGTTGCTGATGGCTTGAAGAATGGAGGGGTTCGCAAGTGACGCGGCGGGCATGCGCTGATAGATGATACTAGCTTGAATGGTCGAATTGTCGATCCCGTATTGCAGATCTAGCACGAGCAGTTGCGTCAAGGCGGCTGCGTTCGTGGCGTCGGGGGAATTCACATCGACGGACGTAGCGGCAAGGATGTGGAGATCGAGTTGTTCGGACATGCGTTTGAGACGCTTGACATCCCGCGTTTCTCGTCCATGAATGTCCACGACACAATTCGACTGGACGTGGGCCAGCCGCTCGAGCTCGCGGAACGCGCGGGTTTCGCTGGACAGCATCAGGTTGCCCTTCTCCATGGGATGTTCGCGAAGAAACATGAGATCCTCCATCGCGATGTCCACATCGGCAACGGACGATTCCTTCTCCAGAACCCTCTGGTGGACAAGGATTCCACCTCCTTTGATGGCACTTGCAGGCACTTCGCCGCGGACGGTCATGATCATCGCGTCCGTCATACTTTGGGTCGAGTTTCGTTGAAATTGCTCCCCGCCAATCGGATTCCAGCGGCCCTTTTTGCGGAATGCCAGCAGCACTCACCACTTCGGGATGCTTCCAGCCAGCATGACACTGCTTGGGGAAGGTAGGTCCCGTGGAAGTGTGCGATGGGTTTAGCCCCTTGGACCCTCCACGTGTGCGAGGTAGGTTGAGGGCGATCTCGTGCGTGGTTTCAGGACCTCAACGCGATGGCGCCAGAAGAACGACCAGCGCGCTCCACAGCTCTAACGTAAGCCAGGCCATCATGGACTACGTCGCATAAGCCACACTCGTCTACGCAGACGGAACTACACCACTGTGGCCGATTCACACGCCAAAGCGTTGGGCTCGCGCGATTCAGGAATGCGTTCAGGGAAGGTACAACTGCAAAACCTTTCTGAACAAAACACGGGCTTGAGTGATTGCCGGGTCACGTTCTCAAAGTAGAGATGGAGAGCGCGTCGGCGTCGCTCACTTGGTCAGCGCAAGAGCCTCGCGCAACACGAATCTGTTGCATGCACACGACCTATATCGAGTCCATATTTGAATGGCTGCGTCTAGCTCAACACGCGCGCGATCGTTTCCAAAACGTCCCGGCACGCGTCGCGCGTCGTGAACGGGGAGCACATGACGTAGATGACGTTGCCGAGCGCTCGTGCGTAAATGCCATCGACGCGGAGATGACGAATGTATTCTTGCGCGCCAGGAGCGTCGTAGCCTTTCGTCGACGACTCGAGCTCGAAGACAGCGACAGTCCCGAGCTGGAACGCTCGAATTACGCGGGGATTCTGCGCAATCGCTGCAACGGCGGACGGATTCCAGTACTCGCGAGTGACTGAGGCAGTGTTTGCCAGCGAGTCGTACATGTCCAACGCCGTCAACGCTGCCGCGCACCCAACAGGATTCGCGGTGAACGAGTGCCCTGGACAGTACACGCCGCATCTCGTCAGTGGCGCCACGAGCATCGAGCGCGGTACCGTGAAGTAGTGCATCGGCTTTGGCATCGGACTGAAACGCATCAAACACTTGGCGCGTAGCCAACGTGGCTGCGAGGGGCACAACGCCGCCCGTGAGGAGCTTGGCGTAGCATGCAATGTCAGGGTCCACCTGCAGGAGATTCCGCGCCGATTCGGCCCCGAGGCGCCATAGCCCGCTGAACACTTCGTCAAACACGACGGGGATCCCTCGGCTGCGGCACACGTTGACCATCGTTCGCTGAAACAACGGGTCGACAAAGTGCATGCCCCCTAGCGATGTCGCCAGTCAGACGACGACTTGATCGAGGTGGAGGCGCAGTACCTGCACCGATCAAGACGGGCTCGACCACGAGGGCACCGACGAGAGCGTGCGGCGGCACGTGGTTGTCGAGCAGATCCGTCACATACGCAGTGTACGCGGCGGCACTCGCTTGGCGCGACGACCCGTTAAAGAGAGCATCCATCGACTCGAGTTGCACGTGAAACGCTGCATCGACCTCTGGCCACGTCACGCGCACATGGCCATCGGTTCCCGACACCGACACGGTCGGCGGCGCCGCAAACATGGCTTTCGGTTTGTACCACGGGTGTTGGGTCATGTTGAACACACTCGGCTCGGCGACGTGCATGACTCCGAGCGTGTCACCATGGTAGCAGTTGGTCTGCGCCAGCACGACGAGCTCCTTGTCCGCGTTGGCTGGCGCAGATTGGTACGCGGACGAGGTCACGAACGTTCGAAAAGCCTACCGCACACCAACCCCTCCGTCAAAACACAAGTCGAACGTCGTAGCAAAGTCTCAAGACGGGCATGGCGCGTCGGAAAACATGGCCATGTCGAATGACGTCATGGACCAAGAACGACGATTGCTCACTCGACACAAACCCCGAGCTGCGACCACCCGCGTCGGGTTGCGCCCTTGACACGTTCGGTAGTGGCCATGCAGCAGTGTCGAGCAAGTTGTGGGCAAACCAACGACCATGCAACCATGGCTGCCACCAGCACACAACCAAACCATGCGTGAAGAAAAGGCACAAATGGGACCAAGCGAGGAGAGTTTTAGCCGGACGTACCATCTTGAGGGCGACCTCAACCGCGGTGGACCCGTCGTCCGAGAAAAACACTCGCGACGCCCAGTTGCGGCCGACCGTGTCGAGGAGTTTGGCGGCGACCTGCACCGCTGGTTCGTGGGCGTTCTCGGGAAACATGACGTGGCCGTATCTGCAGCCTCATCAGTCGTCGCATGTTTCGAGCGACACACAGTGAGACCGATTCGTACCGAGCAGCAGTTGTGGCGACGGCGAGAGCAGCTTTGGGATTGCCGTGGCCGAGGCCTTGCGTCCACCATGACGCACAGGCATCCACCATGGGTTCCAAGCTGTTGCGACTTGCGTTGTACGTTGCAAATGAATCGCCATACGCCGAGTCGATGACGAGCACGCCTTTGTTTTGTTTGTGCTGGGTGAACGGCCACCACAGGATCTATATGCACATAACGTAAGAAACCCCGCACGACGGAGCGTCCTGTCGCAAGGGACGATCCATTGCAGCACCAATGAAGCACATGTCGACGAGAAAGCCACACGCAGCTGCCACACACGACAAGATCAAACGCATACCTCTTGGGCTTGAGATGAGATCGCATGGAGGCGATCGACGCGAGCGTGATGGTATGCCGTGATGGCATCGAGGATGCTTGCAAAAGACTCGTCGTTGGCCGAGTACCAATCGTGGAGCGGCGTGGGTTGCGGAGGGAGCTTGGGCAATGCGAAAACAGATATATTGAGTTCGGCGGCGCGGTCGGCGATGGCGGCAGCGTTATCAAGGTCGTCTTGCTCGATGAGCACGATCCATGGCACGTCGTATCCCTGCGTTATATCAAGACATCAAACAAGCGAAAGCCGTGGGAATGGTACGCGAAGGAGAAGCGAGTCTAGAGCAGACATGGTCGCCGAGATTCCGCCAAGCTTGCCGTCACCAACAAGGACCGAGGGAAGGCGAAGAGGTCGATAGACGTCGCATTGGAACCTGCCGCTCGCGGAGGGGCTGTCCAAATGGCCGTAAGAACGATGAAGAATGGTTGAGGGGTATACCTGCACACCCCACCCGCAGTCTCGACAACCATCAAAGTGGATGCATTGGCTTGCAATGCATTCAGCGTAGAGCTCAAGCGATTGACGAGGATGTCATCCGTGAGTGATTTGTCTTCAAGATGCGCGGCCAAGTGCGGCGACACAGGAGTGTCCCACGAGAACAACGTCTCGCACGAAAGTCGGGTGGCGTCCATGTGCGAACGGAGGAAACGAGCATCCATCATGGAGTCTCCTCCTGTTTGAAGTGGTTTGATGTACCCCACAGTCGATGTCGAAGAAGATTGCACGGCTGCACGACAAAGACCGGCAGACACGATGGTCTTGCCCACGTCCGTATTGCTGCCAAAAACTTGAACGATGGGCGATTGCAGCGACACGGAAACGGCATTGGGCACATACTGCTTCGATGGAGTGCTGTCGCGCTGGAGGTTACATCCAGCATGCAGCAAACCAGCGCGTGGCGGCGCGGCGCGTGCACTGAACGATCGCCGCCCAAGATGCGACAGCATCACGAGGGGCCAGATTTGAAGTAGCAGTATAAATACGCACACGTTCAATTCCTTAAAACAGTCCAAGTGTTTCTCTGAATTTCGTTGACCTGACGATATTCCTCGTTGCCAGTAGCTGTCTCCCCCAAACTAGACAGTTACTATCCTCCAATGTCCCGCTATCTTGCTGATACTACAATCTTGCAGTCGAGGGACGGAGAGGTTTTCGTCGTAGCCGCACTTACAAAGCTGTCCGGCCAATGACAGAACAAGTGTGTAGATATAAGGAAATACCTTCAACACCAAGCTCATGAATGGATTGGATAAAAAAGGAGTATTCCTTGGAATTTCAGCGCAAAGGAGAATTAACATTGGTTGCAATGAATGTATTTATAACGAATCAAATTGATATATTTTCGGTATCTTGTGTGGAACGATTGTGCCATGCCGTTGAGCGCAACGTTGGGCGTTGCAAGTCTTCGGTCGGCGACGAGGATATAGCACAGGCACAACATGCTTCGCCGCCACGAGATGGCATTGCTGTGCACCATTGGCACCCTGCTCTGTTACGCGGACCGTACGTTCGTCTAGATGAAAGGCATTGTTTTCCTGAACAGCATGTAGGCACCAATATCAGCGTAGCCCTGCCGTCGTTCGAACCGGACCATGCAATGCAAGGCCGTGTCCTGTCGGCATTCTTCTACGGCTACATTTGTACGCAAGTGCTGGGAGCACACTGGGCGTTGTTGCACGGTCCCAAGCGCGTTCTGTTGATTGGAGTCGCCGTGTGGACGCTTTTCGATTTGTTAACTATCCCGACGGCACGTACACCAACTTTGCTGTGGTTTGTCCGCGCCGGTAGGCAAATATCCCAAAACCATTTCTCAGCCCATTCGGGTCCATGATTAGGCATGGGACTTGGAGAAGGCATCTTGTTTCCTTCGCTTCATGTCGTGGCGGCGTCGTGGTACCCCGTCAACGAACGCAGCCGACTCATGTCGTTGGTGTCGAGTGGCGTTGATCTCGGCACGATCTTGTCCATGGCGGTCGCGCCGCTGCTTCTCAGCGCATTCGGCTGGCCGAGCATCTTCGTCACGTTTGGTGGCTTGAGCGCACTTTGGCTGGTCGCATTCTTGTGGCGAGGAAGCAGCAAGCCCGAGATGGACAAGGCCATTTCACTCACAGAGAAGGCCACCATTTTGGCCCAACGCGACGTCTTTAACCATAAGCTGGTGGCGCTCCAGGCGGTATCAAGTCGCCGCCTGTTGACGAGCCGAGGGGCGTGGGCAATTTACAGCGCACATTTTGCCTTCAACTTTGGCTGGTACGTCTCTCGTGGCTATATGCGATGGGGACTTTTACTCAGCAACGTGAACGATCGTGTAGGTATGTATTGCTAGGGTGGATGCCTCTGTACTTTCGAGAAAAGCTGCACGTGCCAGTGGCCACAAGCGGCTTCACTTCTGCGTGCCCATACATTGCCGGGTACATCGGCGTTCTCGTTTGGGGTATCGTATCGGACAAGTGGATTCAAATGGGCCATAAACCACTCGTCGTACGGAAAATCATGAACGCGGTGGGCCTTGTCGGCGCCGCGGTCTGCTTTGGTCTGATGCGCTTCACGCATTCAACGGCCATGGCTGTGGTTGTGCTCAGCCTCGCACTATTCTTCGGCCGCGCGGCTACGTTGGGATACTGGGTCCACATGGTCGATGTCTCGCCTACTCATGCCGGCCATGTAAGTGAACGTTCAAACCTCATCGAGTGGTGTTCGTGAGGCCGACATCGAGTCGGGCGTGTGATGTTCTGCCGTACTGTGCCGCGGACGAACCGGTGGTGACTGCATGTGGTTACTTTCCGAATGGCATGGCTGTCGATCATCGCTTGTTTGTGCATGCTTGTCCTCCGTTCCGTTTTCTGATGGAGAGAGTGTCTACCGAGAGATGAATCGATCTGACTCGGTGTGGCAGATTATGGGAATCAGCAACACCATTGGGACCGTGCCTGGCATCGTCGGCAACATATTCACGGGCTGGATGCTTGCGCGCAGTGAGCACAACTGGGACATCGTGTTTGGAGTGGTCGCGGGGGTGCTTTTGTGCGGCGCGGCAATCTTTCATGTGTGGGCCACGGAGCACTTGGACGAGGACGACAACGGCAGCCACGCGAAGAAAGACTACATGAACAAGCTCCTACTCGACGACGACGACGGGCTCCACTTAGAGCGAGACGAGTTTTTTATTTGAATGGAGGACATTCTTGGCGTAAATAAGGCGGCAGGCCGTGGGAATTGTTAGGCACATTCGGCTACGGGTGGCGGAGGCGGTTGCTTCTTTTTGGCCGCGCGGGCTTTTTTCAGCACAAACTTACGATGCGCTGCGCGGAACTCTTCCGTGAATGCCCACAGCACACTGAAGAGTTCGTCCACTTCGTAGTTGCCTTCCTCGCCAATGTACCGCAAGAAGGACGCTTTCTACATGTACCATGTGAACAGGTGTTCGAGAAAACTCCGACGACGAAATACCTTTTGGTTGAGTGAGTCGAGCTGATCGGTCAGATCGCGCAACTCCATGTCAACTTTGGTCAAAAAGAAGCGAATGGCGGCGGCAGTAAGGTTGGTCTCATGATCTTCGCCCTGCCAGAGGAAGTCAATCCATCACTGCTAGCCATTCATGCCAAGCGTCGGGTGTCGGCCGTACGAGAATGCGTTGTGCCTCGGCTTCTAAATGGGCGCGACCGCCCTCGAGCGCTTTCTTCTCCATGTACAATTGCTGCGTCACAACCCGCGACGCGCGCTCGAGCAGCCCGACTTCTTCGTCAAACTGGGCCAAGTGCGGGGCATCACGCTGGGCAAATTGCATGGCATGAGGAAAGAAACCGCGTCCACCCGCACTTACGTCAACCACTTCCACGAGAAACTGGAGCAACGTTGTTTGCCCCACAAACGCTTTCGTCTGCGACAGCTTGACCAACGAACTCAGCGAAAACCCCTTGGCCACGCCCGCCGCCCCGTTCTCTGCGTCTTTGCCAAAGTTGAGCACGTTTCCCATCTTGAGCACGAGCAGCAAAATATCCTGCGCCCAACATCATGACAACGACCATGGACTAACGAGGACAATGGCGACGTCACGTACTCGGAGGTCATCGCTTGTGCAGATTTGATGGACGCAGCGCACGATGAGCAAGATTGTTTCCCTAACACACGGAGACAAACGCGTCAGAAGCGTCAAATTTTCTCGTTGGGGTGTACCGAAGTTCATGGCTCCGAGAGTGAAACTCTTGCTTGAAGATGAGGCACTGGAGCTTCTCCGGGAATCGGGGGGTGTCCCGCATGACGTGGCAGAACCGCTCCGCCTACACCGAGCAAGCGTTGGTCTAGTTCGCGCGGTTTGCATGAACGTACGAGTCCGAGAGTTTGGGGGTCGCCTTGAAAGTCCCGAATAGCTTTCATTTCTTGCGCGTCGGGCCAGAGATCGATGAGGGCTTTCAAGTGCATCGACGACATCACGGTCGGATTCATATTTAAGATTTCGTCCTTGATTTTGCTACAGACACATCCAAACCATGTCATACCGACATGAGACCGCGCGACGTACTCGAATGGGACTTTAATACGTGCGAGGGTGATCCCAATGTTCTGTGCCTTCTTCATGTCCATGAGGCTGACGCTTTTGACCTGGAGCAAGTCGCGGGTCGACTTGGCCGTGTTTGACACGTCGCTCTTGTGAGCTTTGGCCACATCGTCGTGGATGGATTTGGTGAAGAGCCGTTCGAGAGCCGCCACACTCGCATCCGACAACGCAGCTACCATGTTGTTAGAGATCTCCCAGCCACCAATGATTCAAAACGCATGCACAGCGACACACTCCGGCCAACGTGGGATGCGTACCTTGCGTGGGCTGTTTCCATAAGGTCGAGGCATCCATCGCGTCTTTGTTGAGGACGACCCAGTGGAGCTTTTTTCGAATCCGGTCTGGCTTGGCCACCTTTCTCGTCATGAAGCTCTTCGAGGAGGTGGCGGTGGCGGTCGACTCGGGGTGGAGCCACGAAGGATCGACGTTGTCCTTGACCATGGCGTGGTCCACAGCCATGGGGGGCATGCCCAACTTCAGCATCTTCTTGTACTTTGCCACGACCTTTTCTTTATGTGCTTCAAAGGCTGCGTCCAGCTGGGCCTTGGGAACTGTCGGTATGGTTGGGTCTAGGTCTAGTAAGTGGGGGGATATGCCGTCGGCGCGGAGTTTATGCTCGACGACGGGACGTGGGAGACCCGTCTTGAGCATCTTAAAGTACTTTTCATACACGGGGTCCGTTGCCAGCGTGTATTCGATCAAAGGCTGGTTCGGGTCCATGTCCAGAATGGCTGGGTCGACGTTCTCCTTGGTCATGCGGTGCTGGACAGCGGGCTTGGGCAGTCCTCGCTTGAGCATGAGGAAGTACGTTGCGTATTTGGGATGGTCTTTCAACGGCACGTCGGCCGTGCTGTCTTCGGAGGATCGGGTCGACTCGGAGGATTCTGTCGAGGCCGACGACGACGTCGGCGATGGTTGCTCCAGCGGCGGTTGGTGAGCACTGTTTCGTTTTTGAAGGAGTTGCGCAAGCATGTTGTGCTTCTTCGGTCCTTCCTCTTCGTTGTTGTTGCTGCTGGGCGACGATTCAATTTCGGGACTTTTGTTTCGCTTTTGTAAAAGTTGCTCCAACATGGCATTCTTCCCCGACGATTTCGCAGGTTGCGTTGGAGCTGGTTCTTGTGGTGGAGGCGCACGTCGAGCTTTCATCATTTCCTCGAGAACATTCTTTGCAGGATTTGCTACTGGCCGCGCGATCGCTTGGTCTGGCGGCGCTGCGAAGTCGTTGTCGCTCTGGTTGTCGTTGGACGACGCTGCAGGTGTGCCAAGCACGGTGGCGTTGAGTGTCCGTCGGTTTAACGAGCTCATGAGCGAACTACTCATGACTCCTGCGGATGGGACGTGTGGCTTGATTCCATTTGGTGGGTCGTCTTCAGGATGCTGTTGACGTGCCGACGCATCCTCTTCGGCCTTGCGTTCGAGCTCTTTGAGGATTTCAATGGCCGATTTAGCAAACGGTGACGCAAACGTCTGAGACGACGTCTTCTTTTCTAGGAATGGTGGCAGCAACGACGCAGCGTCCGTTGATGTAGCGGTGGTGTCGAGGTGCAGCGCGCGGGCAAATCCAAACGGCTTGACTGACTGCGATGGTTGTTTGCCTTGGCGCTTACTGAGCTCGGCTAAGAAGGACATGGTTCATCTAACGACGCGAACCGTGTACTACTTGGTAGAGATAGAGTGCTGTCGTAATGGTCTCGAGCCAGATGTCTCACAAAGAAGTGCGCGGCGATGGACGGGCGGCAGTGGGAGATGTTGAGCCGACTTGCCGACACCAGATGGCAATTGCCAGAGGATGCCATTTATTGACAACGTATCCGGCCTTGTCCGGATAAGCCTCGACCGTTTCACGGCAGTGGATATTGCGCTATTCCAGTTTAAACGTTCGGTTTTTCCCCCGTACTTCAACTTCAGCGAGGTTTTTGCGTATTTTGCTGCCAAAGGGGGAAAAGATCATGTTTTTGCTGGTGTGGCAGCACTGAAGCAAATATCCACGCTATGTCGACGTCTGTACTGCGCAGTAAATACACGAATTGGTTCGTAGCCGAGTCAACCGCCCATTCAACGAGCTCGGCAAGTCCTCGAAACGTGTACAGAACCTCTCGCCGTGGTAACATTCAGAACGTGCATACGAACGGTACCTGGGAAACGCGTTGACGACATTTTTTAATGCGATCGACTTCACCAATCTTCAAGCACGCATGGGTGTTTAAAAAAGTCCCAATCAAAGTATGGGCATTTTGGACTTCATTAGCAGGACGGCATGCAATTTTGCATGGACCTCTTCCTACTTGTTTGCAATGAGGTGTCGCGGTTGCCATCACATGCGCGACCGATTCAAGTGATGCAGCTATATTGGTTGTACCTCGCTGCTGTGGGGGCGACGGAACTCTTACACGGCTTGCATCCGACAGAGTCAAAATTTGTGGTCGGAACAGGTCTTCTGTGGGGTAAAACTTCAAGCAATGTGTTTGGGATTGGTCAAAAAGTTCAAAATGCATCGCTATGATTCGACTGTTTGAAAATATTCCAAGAAAAAATTCGATTGGCCCAGTGGATTGTAAATTTATTTGCTATCGATGAAACGAACCAATCGCAGGCCGTCCTTTTCCAGCGTCCCATTTTAATTCTGAGGTAGCCATGGAAAAGACAGCGACGACATCACCTACGGCAGCGTCGCCAGCTCCATCCTCGCCCAAGGCCTCGCCGGTCACACCCAGCGCCATACCTGTTGATGTTGCCCCGCAGCCCAAGCGCCGCGGCCGTCCTCCCAAAGTTCGTGACCCGGACGAGACGGAACAAGAAGTGAAGCGTCCTCGGGGCCGCCCGCGCAACTCGGACAAACCCACAGCGTCGTGGTGTGCCGAGAGCGTCAAACTACTCTTCTACCTACGCTACGACTCGGACTTGCGACAGAAATTTGACGAAAAGGATAACCGTGCAAAGCGTACAGGGTACGAAATGCTCGCGTCGACGCTCAGCGACAAGATGGGCCGCAAGTTCGACAATGCCCAAGTCCAACAGAAGGTACTCCGGATCAACATGTTTGCCCTTCTTCGAGGCTGTAGCTGAACGCTTGCACCTCTAGCTGTCCCAACTCAACATGGTGTGGTCGAAGCTCGACCCCAAGGACGACTCCAACCGTCCCCAGCACTGGGAAGTCATGAACGAATACTGGGGCCCCGATGGCAAGTTCCCACAGCATCAACTTCCTGCTACGGTTCCCAAGCGGGATTCCACCGACTCGGACACAACTCCCGCGGTGTCGGCGGTCTTGTCGTCCAGCTTTCTTGAAGCCGTTGTGCCCCCTGTACACGTTCCCCACAACAAACTTCGCCGGATCTTGTCGAAGCAAGCCGAATCGGAAGATTCATCGGCCGCCTCCTTCGATGTGCATTCGTCAGTCGCCGTCCCATCTTCTGCTGCTGCGCACTCCCACGAAAACTCGATCGGGGACCACTCCGCATTGGTCACGGGTTTCATGGCCGTGAAAGACGGCCTTGTCGCGATTTCGACGGCAATTGCCGGACACATCAAGGAGGACAAGATGGACATGTTGATTGGTGCTGTTGCCAAGCAGACCCGCGCGATCGAAGAACAGTCGAAACAGCTCGCGTCTCTCGTGACCCTGTTGTCCGCTCAGCCCGGTGTGTCGCTCGCCGTAGAACCGGCGTCCCCCGATCATTAACTCCATCTCGTGCAAATACACCCACAGTGTTTGTGTTTTTGCCTCGTTGTCGACTTGATGCCGTCATCCCACGCCGTAAAATACGCAGTTAAAAGCATCGCTCTTTCAGCTACGAAACCATGTTGTTTAGCCAACGATTCACTTTGCGTGCCACAAAATGGTCGTCTTTTTGTGAAATGCCCACCGACACCTACTCCTTTTATGAAATCCAGCGCGGAAACTTTGCGTGCCACGTTTGAGGATTCCATCGCATGCAGGACTTTGGGAATGCCGTCCTTCACGTACGGGATATGATCTACTTGAGCGTGGAGAGCAACGTCTGCGCTTCGTCATGCACTTGTTTGTCTTCGGGGGTGGATACTGGCACAGCGAGCGTTCGCACGAGCCAGTCTTTAGCTTGCGCAGTGTCCTTCATTTTGAGGTACGTTTGGGCAATTTGGAGCGAGTTCTTTTTCCAAAACCCGGGCGAAATCGCATCCGCTTGCAAGAAATACGCCAAGGCGTCGGCATATCTACAACGCAGTGTAAGATGCAAGAGAAAGGATCGGAAACTACGTCGCGCGTGGGGGGGTGCCAAAGATGGCGGCGGCAAGCTGCCGCTCGATCCACGAAATGTCGGCTATGGTTAAGCACCACCGCCCGAGCAAGTTGAACGATGTTGCGTCCGACGGATTCAATTCGATAGCTTTCAGCCAGTGGTCTCGTACAATGAACGAGTTGGCAATCGTGACTTTGGACCCTTCAAACTCGCCGATGGATGATAGCACAATGCCAAACCTTGACGACAGGTCAGTTTTCGGCTGCTATCAGCAGCGCTTGCATGAAACCATCGATGAACCAACCATTTGTGCACGGCGAAGTCGTTGGCATCCAATTCAAGCGCCGATTGAATTACATCACGAGCTCTGTAGATTAGCGTTTTCTTCTCGACGGGCGTTGTTGAAGGGAGAGTGGCTACGTCGTACTTAGCTCGGGCAAGTCGCCAAAGCAAACCCACATCTCGTGGATTTGCTTTGACAGATCATGAGACGATGCACGAATGGAACAGAAACGTACCATCGACGGCTCGCTCAAGGAACTGCATCAATTCGCGGCGGCTGTACGATGGAGAATTGTACAACTCCTCGGCCTTCACGGCCACGGCAGACTCACGGGACCGTGCATGAGTCACAGCACCCGTCGACGCAAGAAAGACTCCTGACATCAACACGGCCAGGGATACGCGAGGAGCAGCAATGTGGCGACCAGGCAACACAAAGGATGGAGCTGTGCCACGGACCCGTCTAGCACACACATGCGCACGGATCGTCATGCGAAGGAACGCGCGTCCTACACAGGATCTTACAGATCGCTTTCTCATGCATCGTATATAACGTACGTGACGCCTGCATCTCGGTCCAAGATTTTGTGGTTGCGGCACCGGGCCGATCTTTGTCGTTTGCTGCGCCAAATTCCGAAGTTCGAAGTCCATCGAACTTCGCGAAGTTTGGCCTTTTCGTTAAACTCGGGTATAACGCGTTAAAGATAAAACTCGTTTCCGTCGGTTAAACGGGTGAAACGTATCTAACGTTCTTGCTTTGTGCTTGTGACGCGCGACGGCGAAACGGGATCGCCGATGACATGGACGCCACGGAGCCGACGGCGGTCCGATATCGAACAACAAGACATACGCAAACGGCGCGCTTCACACGTATGAGGAGAGACGCGAGGTGCTGTGCCATTCCAGAACCTCTACATGACCACATCGAGTGACCAGCCGCCCCTGTCGCTTCCTCCACAAGTGACCAGATCAGGTGCCGTCTGCACACGACGGCGCGTTGAGGGATAATCCATGGAGCCACTGCAGTAATGTTCACATGGATGGTGCACAACGAACGGCGGCTGAGTCATGAGGGAGGGAGGTAGCTGGTAGGCTTGAAATGCTAGAGCTGATGACAGTAGTCCTGATCAACGCATTCGACACAGCACAGCAGACAGGACTGTACTCCTGTACACGCTGTCGCTAACCACTAAATGCAGTCTCCACCGATCGATAGCGCATGAACCATCCAAGACGAACAAGCTCTCTTTCAAGCGTGTACTCTTTCGTGTTAAGACGAGAGGTTCATTAAATAACTGACGGGTGGCCGGCTGCGCGGGTCGTCTTGCAGGCACATCACGATCGCAGGCTGCAGCGGGCCGCGATTGAATGTGAGCACTTGCCTCAGCGGGAGCAGCTGGGTCACTGTCATGTCGTGGCGGCCGGGGATGCACCGCGCCGTGCGATTCAAAAAGTGGTACACGCTTTCACCCGTGTCAAGTTCGGCGAGCAAGATCCCAAACGAGTACACGTCGGCCGCGACAGTGTGGGGGCCGCCGCTGAGCACTTCTGGTGCGATGTACAGCGTTTGGTGGGCCATCCCGAGCTTGGACACGTCGCACGGGACGAGGTCCAACCGGTTCAAATACCCACTGAACGCGGCATCGACCACGACCTACCACAGCCATTTATTTTCGAGTCGATTGGCATTTTTGGCCACAAACATCCTCGTCAGAGCCATCGGATGCATACACGGCAATCGAGTGTGCACAAGGGGCGGCGGAAACGTACCGACGACGAACTCAAGTTGCCATGGACTTGGGGCATGCTGTGAAGATACCGCAGCCCTGCAGCGATGTGCGATGCTACTTGCCCTTGGACTTCGGCGGTCGGAATGTGGGGAATGCATTGCTTGAGGTCGACCACCAACTCATCGTCGGCACACACGAGCGCGAGGCTTTGGACCTGCCACGTTACTCCAACCAGCGCTGTGATCCGCGGGTGCTGGAACCGGACAAGGCGCTCGACTTGCCGCGCAAAGACTCGCAGAGCCAACTCCGATCCTGCATCAGCGCACAAAACAAGGGATATCAGCACGTTGAATCGGTCGATGCGCACTAGAGTCATCATCGCGCTCTTGGCTGATGCCTTGGCAGCGAGAATGACGACGACCAAGGCAAACGCTGACTCGAGTCACACGCAGAGGGTGCAGAATGCATCGGTATACCTGACACGCGCTTGATCAGCACTGGCTGTGTGCCGTACGAGCCCTTCCAGATTTCTGTGACATCGGCGGCGGAGACAGAGTCGGTCCAGATTGTGTCGTGTTTCGAGTGGTACACGCGCGTCTTGAGCTCGATCGCGGTGGAGTCAATCGCATGCTGGTGCAGCGACGGGTTGCACTGGCGCAGCCATCCTTCCAACTGACTCGTCGACGATTCGTCGGTGGTCGTGGCGACGTGTGACTCGATCGGGCGGTTGCTCTGCGGAATCGTCATCATCGCGTGTTGGGTCGAGAAAGCCGGAAAGAAGTCGCGGAAGCGCAAGATGGGCACGTGGAACCGCGGCGCGGTGGCGAGAACAGGGTCCGAGTCCAAATACTGGCTTCGGAGTCGGCGGCGGTGGCGGTTGATGAGCTTCATCGCGACGAGGTAGAGCACCGCCGCGCCCATCCCAGAGAGGATGATCCACGCCAGCACAATAGAGGCGACCTGCGTCGCCGAGTCTGTGTCTATCACAGTGGACACGTGTCATGTCTAAACGAGGACGCTGCGTTGGGAAGCACCTTGGAGACACACGAACCAGTTGTTGCCCTTGGTGCTATTGTACAAGATCGTGATCGTGTGGGCGTCGGGGCATCTGGGCAGCGACTCGCCCGACCACTCGCCGTTGTCGCGGCCAGGCGTGTTATGAAACGTGTGGATGTGCAGGTCCATGCCCGGCTTTGTGAGAAATTGGTACTCGGGCAGGGTCAGCGAGATCACGTTGAACCGGTTTTGGCGGAGAAAGATGCGCGTCAACTTGGGCAGCTTGAAGATGAATTTCGGGATCGTGCGCAGCGCCATCGCGCTCAGGCCACTACAACGTGTACGGCAACTCGGTCACGCACGTGCATGGACGTACATGCCACCGAGTTGCAGCAAAAAGGGAAACCGAGCGGCGATTTCACCTCCCTGGTCCAACTCGAGCTTGTTTCGAAATTGCTCGGTGTTGTTGGACAAGTCTCTAAATCCCGCCATCACGTTGTGCCCACACATATTCATGAACCGGGTCGTTCGTACAGATAGTTGAGCTTGGGCCAGTTGGTCAGGTTTGGAAAGCTGACCAAACTGCAGTTAAAGAGCAGCCTACGCCAACGTCATGTGCATCCACCACACGTCCGAGCGTACAAGTTCTCGACGGACGGCGCAACCCACGTTTCGACGTTCGTGTGGCTGACGTCCACAAACCGCACGATGCTGGGCATATCGAGCATGAGTCCACGATGGTTGAAAGCCAGGATGGCGCGCTTCGACGTACATGGTGTTCAATTTTGGGACGCCTGCCACGTTTACGTACTCCAGGGACATGTTGCTCCGGCGACTTGGTGTCGAAAAGAAGTGGCTACGCGAAAGCATGCCTCATTCGCCGCCGACCATGATGCGCGAGCTATTGGAGCGAGGAACAACGTACGTGGCATTGATCGTGGAGTTTGTGATCGTGACGCCGCGTACAGCGATCCGTCCCAGATTGAACGAAACCCCGATGGGGTTCAAGTCGATGCTGCCTGGCTCCACGCATTGCGGTGTGTCGTCCGCCGCGGAATTGACGACGCAGGCAGCGTTGGGACAGACTGCCTGTGACGGACACGGATGGTACAAGTGCGGGAAGGGGTTGGCCGAAGCCAGGAGCGGGAGCACGAGGGTAGCCACAACAAGGGGAATGCGGCCATGCCGTAGTAGCACCATCTTCACCGACCGACACGCGCTTAAGGTCGCTGGGCGCTGTGTGCTCGCCCACTTGCCGTTTGCAGCACTGCAGACGTGGTCGTCTGCGGGACAAATCCAAAGAGTCATCGATTTGGCCCAATATCAGAAAAACTGTATGGGCCAAACTAGTGACGATGACTTCGCTGCACTGTGGCGCCCATCTCGTCGCGCGGCGCTGCCTCCACATCTGTCCTGCATGCGCTGCATGGGGGAGCACTGCGTCCCTCGTGCCCTGCTTGGCGGCTGCAAACCGCCGCGACCACTGCTTGAGGGTATGTCCTGGGCCAAACAACGACCACCATGCGGGGCAATCAATGAAGCCAGTGGAGATCAGGTTTCGGCTCAGGAAACAAAAAACCCCGCGCCAGCGGCAGAGCCGCGCCTGCCAGACCACCCACAATGCCCCTCATCTCCCCGAACCCCCCCCTCTCCATGAGACAAGAGGCCGAGGACAAGGGGGCCGTCGTGCACTTGGAGGTATGTTACGACCCTTCCATCGAGAATCGAAGCACAGGTAAGCCGCTGGCCAGACATCAGCGAGCGTTGGGTGTGTCTAGCCCCGTCAAATCAAAATGCACGTACGGCAGCCTTCCTTCTCTCTCGCCATGTCCTCAGTTGTAGTCGTCTGCCTGGTCAAGCAGGACGAGGTGAGTGGAGCCACCACCCACCTCCATTGGACCTCCTCCTCTAACGTCGAGGGGAAGTCTGTGCACCAATTTCGGATGTCATCGCGTTGTTACTTTGTTTGGGAGTGGTTTGCAGGATGATTGACTAAATGTGCCAAGCGAACAACGCTTCGCATCCACGAACTCGCAGCCTTCGACGGCCCAAAACACACTCGCCAGAGGCTGAGTCTAGGGCAATTTATGTGTATTGCATGCTGGATCTTGTCAACGATAGGCCCAGTGCATCGGTAGTTCCTGTCGGTGCTTTGCCAAGAGCAATCGAGCTAACACATCCCAAGGGTCCTTTACGGATGGACATAGATCTTATGGACTCGCTGTTGAGATCGATCGTCAGACAGGCCCGTCTTCTCAACCTGTGGAGACTGTCGCACCATCCTGTGGCCACGCAATTGATCGCTTTGCCATGGCTGCACCAGCATCGATTCAAAAGATCCTCAATGATGCCCCTGGTTGTGGCGTCGCGCGCAACCAATTCCTGTGATCGTGAATACAACATGCCGTCGATCTCGCCAGCGTCGGATAGAACTCGCGCCTCGACAACAAAAAATCTATGCATGCTTTACCGCGCGTACGAGCACCATGTCGTCTGGGTAGTCGACTTGCGTGGAAGAGAACGTGATGGACTGCAACGTAAACCCGGCAGCTTCCAGCTGGGCGAAGAACGACGCTTCCTGCGTTGGGATGCGTGGCTCGTAGCAAAGAAAGATTTGGGTGGTTGGGTTCGCGAGAGCGTCAAGGGTGTGAATCAAGTCGGGAAAGACGCTGGCGTTGTACAGCACGTCGGACGCCACGATGAGATCCATCTTTCGTTCCATCTCGTCGTCGACAAGCTGCCCCCACTGCAGAGCCTTGACACGTGGGCGCACCACCGAGACCGTGTCACCAAAGTTTGCTTCAACGTTTTTAGCGAGAAGTGGAATGCAGTATGGCTGGTCTGTCAAAGTTACCTACTTGCTCAACGCATGATCATCGGGTGAACAGACAGGTTGTCGTACCTCCATGCAGCCGAGCGCTGCGAGCACCATTCCAACAAGGCCTATGCCAGCACCCAACTCAATCGCACGACAGCTCTCGAGAGTGGTCGCTTTGGCGTGCACTTGTTGCATGTAGTCGGCGAGCACCAACGCGGCATCCCATACCAAGTGGCCGTGCGACGCAGCGATAGGCTTCTCTGCAAGGCATGCTGAGCGGTCTTGGATGGCTGTAATGTAAGGAATGCCATGCTTGGGCTCTGAAATGGTATATCGGAAAGACGGAAGCGAGAGCCGTCCCCAAATGTCTGCTTCGGCGTCTGCCATCGATCCCACCTCGCCACTTTCGCGGCGTCGAAATTCAAGTTCAACCGGTTGCCAATTTTGTCGTATCCGTATTTTTGCAAAAACCTAGCAATATGCGCGAGCGACAAGAATAAATTGCCCGTCAAACCGTGTCCTCAACAATAGGCATCTCCTAAATATACAACCAAATAGGCCCGTTCCGAATTGGGAAAAAGCATTTGTACCTCAATTGTATGGAGTAGAGACAACTAGACGTTGAAATCAGGACTCGTCTCGAACACGAATTCTAAAATAAGATGCCATATCTCATCCAGAGCAGCAATTCTGCTATCTCGAATTCTGTTGCGCACAAAGTTCATCGGAGAAGTCGGACAAAGGATTTTAAGATGGCGGTGCTGTGCACTCTTGCCAGTACGTTGCTCATTTGTTTTATGGAGGGGTAGAGTTCATTCGTGATCGATTTGATCGGAAGGGGTTTCGGCTAATATGAGCGAGCACGCATCCCCTACTTATATTGAATAATTGTCGTATGACATTAATTTTGAAGAAGATTTTGGTATTTTAAGAATATTTATTGCAAATGACAGTAAAATTCTCCTACATTATGTCCACTCGCGTTGCTGTAGCAACTAAAATCCATGAAAAGAGTGGAAACAACGATTGCACAAGTTGGTGAAGAATGACTCGAGATCCGACGTGCATTGTGCAGATCCAAGATGCGACAGTGAAATTCCCGCGAGGACGAGCTCCACAGTTGCCTCTCATGGAAGACGTCGTGGGTAACTTTTGGACGTCGTCGAAGCAACTCGCTGATGCATTCGGAACAAAGGCCTCGGTCAAACGAACGACTCATCACGAATGGCATGCCGGCCACGTGCCCAATTAAAGCATGGGCTTTTTTAAATGGCTTAGTCCAACCGATACGTTTGCCCGAACACATCGACGTCGGTGCGCTCGAGGTCCCACGTCCACGGCTCGTCAGTTTTCGGGTTGTACGAACGAGGCGGCCATCGAAACGGCATGGGAAAGTACATTGCCGACGACGTTGTCAGCTCTGCGTCGGTCGTGGCGTGTTGAAGCAAGCGCAAGAAGTGTCTTGTTGGTGTTGGGGGGTCGGTCGGAAGGAAGAGCACACCGAGCTCGTACGATCGAATCTTGAATTGTGTCCCGCCCTTTTCAAGGGCACCCCACGCTGCTTTGCTCAAGTTGGCACTCGTCAGGAGGACAAAGTCCAAATTCTCGGTCGCCGGATCGATCGTGGCATAGCTCTACGCACGTCCAAGAACTGGCTGAGGGAAACTGCGCATGATACGACAACTACGACAACATGTCGATACTTTGATGTGGGGCATCGCGGTTTTGCGGTGCAATTCCGTCGGGGGGTCCCAATGCCGAAGGTACTTGTGCAAAAATGGCTTCAAATTCTTCACCGTGCATGGCAGGGATCGCCCGGCATCCCATCCTTCGATCGAATTTTGCTATTCAACGAAGACAAAGCGTCGTCACGTCCATCCAGTTCACATGACGATCTGTCATGAGATGTAGATATCGACGGACCACGGCGGCCACGCAAGGCCAAATACAGTGCAATTTCGCTGGCACAGGCAGGGTAGGTGCTGTTTTCGCGCCTCGCTGGGCCGTTGCCGATCCAGTTGTTCCCGAACCAGGCACAAAGCTCGTATAGAATTCATGCAGCCACTTTTCGTCGAGCGAGCCCAGGCTCGAGTACTGCAGCATACCACACAGTGATGACCACCAACTGCGTGAGGTAACGTGGTGCCGTTGCTGTGCAAAAAACACAGTAACGGCACCACGGTAAAAGGGAAAATGGATGGCATGCCATACCTGACACACCAACGGGTGGCTGTGCGGCGCAACGTGTTGCTGCAGTACTCTACGAGACGAGTTTACATCCCACGCTTCTCATGCCAATCGATTTGAATTGAGATGGCGCTTGCCGTACTTTTTCACGCGCAAATGCCCGTACTTGTGCATGTCTACAACTCAAATGCAATTTTTCGGGCGGAGTGGATGACGCGAACTCACCGTGGATGCCGCGATACACGCCTGGCACCGACGCCACCAGCACGACGTTGGCCGTGGAAAAGTCATATTTGAGGAACTGTTCGCGACAAAGGGCGGTGACGGCGGAACACTTTAGCGCTGTCATGTAGTCGAGAAGGTCCGCTTCAAACGTAGATGGCGCAGCCGTGCTTGTTGTCGTGGATTTGAGTGGAAAGTCTTGCGTCCACAGGCCTTGCGTCTTGGAATCCCAGTCGCCGGCCACGAAATTCGCCGTAAAGATCGCGACTCGAATATATGCTGGATAAAACAGTATCTTGTTTGGTTGTGTTAGCGCATGGCCAAGCGTGTAGCAGAGCGGTACCATCATCTTGGTGTGGTGGGTCCCATACGGTATTGGGAGAGGAGGCGCCGCAACTGTGGCTTGTTTGTACTGTCGGCAAGCCGCTTGTACGCTACACGCAGTCCTGAGATCAATAGGCGAATGATCCTCCTCACGTGTCATGGTGCATGCCGTGCAAAAGATAGATGGGAACCTGTCGAAGCCGTGGATGTTGCCCAAATAGCCATGGTACGTCGACTTTATAGTTGGTCATGATGGCTTGGGTGAACTCTCCTTCCAACAGTCTTGACAGCGGCATTGCATACCCTAGCGGTCTTTGAGACTTCACTTCCAGGAGAGGTTTGCAAGTCATATCTTGCAAGGAGAAGGAAGTCTACGTACGGTTCTGTTCAGCTGTGCCACTGCGCAGTGAAGTGAGGTGGAATCCAAGCGGTGTTGCCGCGACCTTGAGCCGCTTCGCTGGCTTGTTCTCGTTGTCGTCGTCGGCCATTCTGGATTTTCACCGTTCGGGAAGTTGTTGGTGAAATTAATGCCCTGTGATTGGTTTGCGCATTTTCTGACTTAGCCAATCAAATATTTCTTTGGATATATATTGAAGAGTGATTGCAGTAAATACAAATTCACTGTCAATACGCAGACGTTTACTACGAAAATGCCAGCAAATTCAACGCCGACGCGACATCACCTTGTACCGAGGATGGTTCAAACTCCAACGAACGGAAACTCTCCATTCCTGACGCGTTGAGGACTTTACCAAGCTGACAATGGTCGTATCTCCTCGCTAGGCATCCTTTTTGCGCTCTGAATGCAACGTGATTTTCAGAAGCAACACGTCGAAAGATCACCAAACCGGAAACACCATCACGAATCGGCATTGTCATGCTACATGATGCATTTTGGTCGAAAGTCTACCAATTGAAGAATATGCGCCACATCCGCTCCATGCTGGCCACGATAAGTTCGCAGTGAGGCGAATACTAGACCAACAAATGTTGATGTTGGTGGATGGTGGACGAAGTCCGACGTGGTGTGTTTTATTTCGAGTGACGTGACCTCCCAGTGATCTGGAATGACCATGGATGGCTCGACGAACACGCTCCACGAACTATTTTCCAATCCTTCAAGTCGATCACTACGTTTTGCCTGCCCTTAGAAATTGTCCGTCTGGTCATCGATCGTGTCGACGACTGGACATGCAGCACAGTGGGCATGGGAATCAGGCTGGGCTTCGTCCCGTCATTCAAAAATTTCGCGAGCTCAAGGAACAACAGCATGTACCAAGGATGTTTGCATCAAACCAAGAACGAAAGTCAGGGGATCGAAGACGAAACGGACCATGCAACTGTTTGTGAATGGACAAAAACGAATTCGAGTTGGGATTCACATTCATGGACAGCACGCGAGGATGGCCGAAGGGTCGCCAGGTATGGTGTGATTGCTGCCGTCGAAAAAGGGCGACGACATGGCCGAGTCGACGCCCCTGTTCGCGTCGGTGCTGTCTCCGCTGCCGTTTGGTACAGCCAAATCGTGGAAGCTCGGGTTGTGTGAGTGTGGCTCGACCACTGCGTCAGCGAAACTCTGTACGCCATGCATTTCACCAACGTACTCAGCCTTAATCGTCTTTGTAGCGTGGTTGATGGCGCTGCTGTGTCCATGCGCGCCGTTGGCCCAAATCGCATCTCGGTTTAGTGGACTCGGCGCATATTATGTCGTGCTGTGGCTCGGCATCATTCTCCATGTAGCCATGGCAGCTACAGTACTCGCGGTCTGCGAAGTTAAACAGGCCCACTGGCCTGCCTTCGTGGATTTTGAGACCGTTCCGTTGTACTTTGTGCAGGTACATGACCTCCCGATCTACTGCTGGGGAACGTGGGCGTTGTTGGTGGCGTACCTGCGATTCTACGGCCGTGCGAAAATGCACCTTGCGGGCAACTTTGCCGGAGACTTTGTCGTTTCGTGCTGCTGCTCCAGCTGCACGATTGCCCAACTCGCCACCCAAGTCGACGTGTACGGTCCAAGCGTCCGGCGCGACGACTGTAGCCAGTACTATTTTGGCCCGCGCGATGTCTTGCCGCCGTATGTGGTCGCCCTCGAGCCTCGCAAGTCGATCAAGCATGCCTCAGCTCGAACGGTTGTCGTGTAGGCCGCCCATTCGATCTTGGGACCGTTGTGAGAACTAGAGCTAAACGTGTAAATATGTGTGTGGATGGCCAATGCATGCGGTCATAAATGCTGCAAGTGCTGTCTTCCTCCGTCGTGCTGTTGCCAAGCAAAAAATGTACTGGATAATCCGCATGCACGTCCAGTAGACTGGTTGCGCGGTTGGACGCCGTGGCAATGGGAGCCCAGGCTTGCCTCACTGCCTGTCGCTTCATGCAAGCGAGCTCCAAGGTAGGATGGCTTGAACAACCCTCTTCATCAATGGGCTGAACTGGGTCACACTTTTTCCACGCAAAACGAATTCGCGCCGTTGCCGGTGCTTCTCCAAGGCATGTATCAACCACTCCTGGAGGGAAAACTCGTTGAATTGCGAGCCCCCTGTCGTCCGTGCGCTTTGACGAGTCCCCACCACTTTTCGATCACAGTGAATCTGCAATCGTCCAAACATTGAAAGCACCAGGACGGCGGCGACTATTCTAACGAGAGTTGAGAGTTTGTTGCACATCTGACGCGCCGCCATCATGTGACTTCCATGGACGAGTGGCGCAAGCCTCGTCCTGATCCACATGCAGCCTCCACTGATTCGCCCAAGTCGAGCGACTCCTGTCGGTGTTAGCTAAGGCTTCGGGGCGAGCGATCCATTTGGTCACGACACTGGTGGGTCTCGTCGAGCTTGAGGACAGAAGTGGCATGCCAACACATTGCACAGCTGGGTGTCATTTCAACGTAGGAGGATGGCAGCTTGCCACCGCTAGAGTAAACAGTCCCCCATGTCGTACAGACAAGACGACGTGTTGCACGGCAAGTCGCAAACTTGGTTGGACGACTGGCTTCGAGTGCACGCAGTGTCGCAGGTACTTGGGCAATGGCTAGAGTCGCGGGGGTTTTCGAGGCAGTAGGGGCTGCCGGCCAAGTCCATGGACATCGTCGACTGGGACGTAAGGTCGGAAGGAACGGCGCGAATGGGATTATTGCTCAACGACAGATGAAGTTGTGGGTTTGCAGTCATCAACTTCGTGGGAAACGTCGAAATACGATTTGAATCGAGCACTAGCGACACGAGTTGAGGCACAGCCGCGACTTCGTCGTCGGGCACGACAGCAATGCGGTTGGAATCAAGGGCGACGGTTTGCAGCACCTGGAGGCGCAAGAGCCCCGGAGGAATGCTGGACAAATTTGTGGCCGTGAGCGCCAGAGACATGACGCTGCCCCATGAGTCGACGACGGTCGGGGAGATATCGCCCAACGGGGCCCCCACGAGCCCGAGTTCGATTAAATTCGGTCCGGGTGATCGAAGCGCTGCCGGCACATGTGTCAAGTCGCTGTATCGAACTTGCACGGTCGACAGTGAAGGGGGAAGCACTCCTTCCCACGATCGCATGCTCGAGAACTCGACCAAGATTCCCTGTAAGAATTCAAACGGTGCAAGGTTCGGGACTCCCTCTTCCACGGGACATCGAATCAAGTGAAGAAGCATCAGGTTGGCGCCGAGCTCGGTGACATGCACCCCGTCAAGGGGATTTTGCACCGGCAAGTCACGCGGCGAGTTGCAATTCAGGCGAAAGTAAATGCAATTGCACGACTGAGTAAACCACGGTGCGGACTGGGCAACGCAGCCAGTCGGGCACGGCCGTCTTGTAAGTTGGGACGCAATGGCCACCGTCGCGACGGTCACTCCCCAAACAATGCACAGCACCAGCATCCCCTTGAGCCACTTGAAGTTGGCATGCTGGGTTGTAAAGCTATCTTTGCCAAGGACCACCATGGCTTTCACAGTGCTTCGGACGTTGCGTTGTTGGAGTACGCGGAAGCTTCCATGAGTAACCACAACCGAGATCATGGTCTTGACCGATGCGCGGCGCCAGCGTTTATTCAGGCGCTTCAAGATCCCTTGGAGCGTAATGTAGTTAGCTACGCTCGGCGCAACGTTCATGGCAAGCTGCCACGGCGTTGACGCGATGAAAAAACGAGTGGACGTGAGCATTTCGGCACGCCACGTAAAGTTGTGGGCGCTGTAGCCTTGCGTCAAGTACACGAGGAGTGGGGTGACCACCAGCACGAGGGGAATCCCAGCGGACAACGTGAACGAGATGCTCGAGTCCATGAGGTCCACAAGCGTCTTTTTCAACCCCGAGCCCTTGACAAACAGCACCCACGTCGTAAAGACGCAGTTTGCCGTCAAGATCATGCTGTACATGAACGCGACGTTTGTGTGGACGAGGTGCGCCGCCATTTGATACGCCATCCACGACTCGGCGCCGAGTTCGACCAAATGGCTTAAGCCCGTTTTCACGTTGGACGGGAGCTTGAACCGGGCTGGAACTAGCCACGCGAGTAGGCGTTTGATCGAGAACGAATGGTTGGTTTTGTTTTGCAAGTGGGGGCCGTCGACAACGACACGTGTCGATCGGTGGCAGTACGTGGCCCAGAACGACCGGACGAGTGGCACGATATGCATCACGGCGACGATCGAATACATGACTGCAGACGCAACGATGTTGGTGCCTCGCAGCATGCGGGCTTGAAACGGGGTGAGCAGGCACAACACAACCGCGACGAGGGTGAAATAGATGGCTGTCAGCCCATGCAGGACATGGACTGTGACGACGATCGGCCTGCGTAAAACAAGGCTCCACGACGTATCCTGTCGAACTCGAGGGGGCTGTCGCTTGGTTGCCATGCAACAACACAGGAAACTGTCCCGGTTTGTCGGGGTGACCGTTTCTGCCGTCCTTTGCCGGTAGATGTGCAGAGGAGCGATGCTGTTCGTCGTTACGCTGAATATCCTTTCGGGGCGAATGTCGAGGGGACCTTTTGGGTCGACCTCGATAAAACTCGTACTCTGGATCTCCTTTAAGACTCCAAGAAGCTGTCCACTGCAACCATGGGATCAATAGCACTGGCTGCGTCACCGTCGAGAGTTGTCGACGGCATCCCTGTCGTCCAGAAAAACACGTTTCATGCGAGGAAGGCACCTGTTCTCTCAGGAAAACGTTATCACAAGTCGCCCTCAACTCGGTAGAACGCGATGAATTGCCTTGAGCAGGCGCATCCACAATAGCCGACGACCGGGGGCTATAGCTTGGATGGTGGTGTGCACACTTCCGCCCCTCGAGCCCATACCCAATATGGGGACTGAACCATTTTTTGAGACACCAACTCGTCCAGAGCCATCGCCAGCCGTTGCCCCCGAAAATAGACCGCAGCGGAAAATATCGGTCGGTCGAGCACGCCGACCTGCGGAGGTGTGAGTATCCGTCGCTGGTTACTTGCATTGGCACCGTCGACACATGCCCCGAGCAAACCTTGCCGCCCAGTTTGACTCGACGGCCAAGCTAGAATCGGAGAGCACCGCCCCACCACTTCTGTCCTCGCCGACTCTTAGCGCCATTACTGTTCGTCGGTTCTCCGGACTGTCGGGGTTGTCTGAGCTGGAATGGTATGGCGCGTTGCGTGGTCCCATCATCTTCCTCGTTTACCTCTTCCATGGCCTCTCCAGCCTCAACTTTACCGTGCTGGGCCTCCTTCACATGACAGCCACTCCATTCGAAACGCGAAGTTTGCACTTGTATCACCCAAAATCGTGCGGAGTCGTCTACAGCTTCGTCGCAGCGCTCCACGTGTTCCCGTTTGTCCGTCACGTGGTGCCGTCAAGGGAATTCCGCATCCACTCGTTGCACCGGTTGACGTCGCTTCGCAAATTCCCCCTCTTGTATCGGCTACACCCCAGGTGGGTGGCCAGATTGGAGCTGCCGCCGTACGTTGGCCCAATTCTGGTTCGACTCATGCGAGTTCTGTTTCATACATGGATCGCGTACGACATGGCGGCACGTTTGGTCGACGGTCGATCGGCCCACATCTATGCTCTCATCTTGATCGGCAACGGGCTCGCCACGTCGTGGATCGTTTTTATCAAGCACACGGGACTCCAAAAGACCCTGTTTGCGTTCCTGCAATCGTTCCTGGCCTTCCTCTTGTCGTCCGGGTTCCCCCTCTTTGCTTTTGTCGTCCCGATCGTTCGGTACCGCGTCGAAGGCACCGGCGTCGAGCCGCACGACTTTGGTTGGCTAGCTACAACGCTCGCGTCCACGCGGGTTCTCGTAATCACGTACCCCCACCAGCTCGTGCTGAATGTGTCCCTGAGCGTGTTAAACTACATGGCCCTTCAACACGTCGCCAGTCGACTCGGACCAAAATCTCGGCGATCAGGTGTATCTAGCCACGGCCGGTCGTCGAGTCGGCAAGTCCACCACAGCAACAGCGGCCTTGGGTCCTCGAGGGTTTCAATTGCCGCGAAAATGACGAGCTTTCGGTTGTCGGGAAACATGCAGTCCATTGTGCACGGCCTCCATCAAATTCGAGTCGACCATGAGAATCGACGACTCCTTCGCCTCGTATTTGTCGTCGACTTGGCGTGGAGCATGCTGGTGCTGGTCCTGACCATGCTGAGCGAGTACACCCAACGTCAATGCCCACCTCACTGCGTTTTGCAATCCAAGCCGTGGTTCACCACGGCATGCAATTGCATCTACGCACGAGTGGACTGTAACGCGACACATCAGGACCTCGACGACGTCATCCACCCCGACTTGCTCGGTGCCAATCTCCTCTACTTGCACACTCGACACTGTGAGTTGCCCCACGGCGTCTCCCTGACTGTCCTCGCCCCGTTTCCATTCCTTTACGGTCTTCAGCTTGAATTCACCGGGATGACCGACTGGAACGTCCCCAGCAGCTCTCTCTCCCCCTCGATCATGATGGTTCTAATTCGGTACAGCCAGTTGCGAGAAGTTCCACTCGTGCTTCAAACGCCGTGGCCGACCCTGCACACGCTGATTCTTGTTGGCGCTCCGATCCAAAGGGTCCCCCCTCACGTGTGGCAACATTGGGGCGCCCTCAGCTCTCTGTGGCTGAGTCACACGCGCTTAGAGCAGTTTCCGTTGGAAGTGTTGTCGATTCGCACCCTTGAAACGCTAGCTCTGGACTCGAACCACCTTTCGAGCATCCCGCCCGGTTTGGAATCGCTTCCGTACTTGAGCAAGCTGTACTTGGCTTCAACAACATCCCCGACTTTCCGACCGCATTGATCCTTGCCAAACCAGCGCTGAAACTGCACCTGGACAACAACCCGATCGCCGCCATTCCGAACGTGACATTGTTCAAACTCGGCACGATGATCACAGTGTCGGGAACGCCATTTTGCAATGTCCTTCCAAGCCACGACGAGTGCCGCACTCCATGCTCGTCGACTTGCAGCCGTCCACACTGGGGCGACTACTTTTGCGATCTTTCGTGCAACACGACCGAGTGCGCATGGGACAATGGGGATTGTTTGTTGTACATGTAACACGATAACAGTATTCACTCTTGTTCAACCACGATGGACAGAGGCAGGAGCATGGAGTCTGGGGTAAGTGGGCTTCAGAGACCTACCAGAAATTGTGACGACCACCTCCAGCCACAGCTGAAACCCTGTTTGCTATCTGATCAATACCTGGGATCGATCCTTTTTAAACTTCCGATGGTGCATCCTTGCACGTGCTTGTGGCACCGAGAAAAGTCGGGGGAATAAAAAAGTCATGTCGATCGGAGAGTCAAGTGCTTGGTGCCCACCGAGGAACAGATATTTTCGTGGTGGACTGTATGCCCCGTCGCACCCTTCAAGCTGCTGCGATCGCCATTATCATTGAATCGACAAGGCAAGTTCGGACTCCCCCTGACGCGACACTATGGTTTGTCGCGTTGCCTGTGCGGCCAGTGAAAGCCATTGTCGTCGGCGCTCTCGACATGATGTCTGACTGCTTGGGTCCACCCCCTTGTCTCCGCGCTAGGCTAAGGTCGACCCTCTCGGTGGCCCAAGACCATGTCGGATGCGCTCCAGTGCGTCATCTTCGTCCGTGTTCATGTGTTCCACGCCCTGGCAACTTTACATGAGGGACCGCACGGCTGTGTATCATGTCTCGAGATGGAGAGCTTCATCAAAAGGAGCTGTCGCTCTATGGTACAGTCTCATGTCAGTGGTGCAGGACTCCGTGGCATCACTAGTGCGCTCCCAGGTGCCGCTTTCGCTGTCCTTGCGGTCTCACGTGGCGTTCTGACCAAAAGGCGTCGACAACGTCTGCACTTGCACCAACCGCGGGCTTGCTTCTACGACAACTTTTTCGCACGGTTTGCCAAACGCGGATTGCTGCCGAGATCCAGCTGAATCACCCCAGACCGCCCTTGATGGCGCTCGCTCATCGAGTCCGGAAGATATGTACACCCCACGCCTCGTCCAGCCTCGTGCAAAAGCACGTTCATTTTGTCATCGCGTGGAGAATTTCGCCATCGCGATGCAGCGCACAGGAGACCCTTCACCCTCACGGTATGTTGCAAATTCAAGTCATGGTGCATTCACTCGTGCAATGGCTTGTACGTCCGCATCGACTGCTTCGCTATCGATGCATGACGAGCTTCCCGTACTCAGCGCGGAGCAACTCGGATCGATTTGTTCCATGAGAGGTTGATCGAGTCGCTGTGTCTGACCGACACCAGCCTGACCGAGTTCCCTCCCGACTTCTCATCACACGCACTGCCCCGAAGCGCTTGCATGGAGCGCACATCAAATGTCAGCCATTTCCCCCGGCATGGACGAGACGTCGCACCTTTCCGACGCGTTCTTGTAATTTCGTGGGCTTTCCTGCTACGTAGGTCGCTGCCGCACCATTGTTCAACCGTTTTTGAACTGGACAACCGCGTCCGAGGCGATGGAAACATTTCTCGAGCTCCAACTCGACGTTAACTCCGCTGTGCGAGATTATCCTGTGCAGTCGCCCTCTCGCTTGCTTCCCCAATTGCTCGCGACTTGCGTCCGTAGCCGCCTAGGCTTGGTCACAAGGCGTGGAACCCGACACATGATCTGCGACATGGGCTGCGGGCCTATAAACCCAGTTCCCATCGGAACAATTGAATTTTCGAGGCAAGGCTGTGGGCCCGGATCCTGCATCTGACTGCTCGCTCTGTGTCGAATGACGCGGACTTGCTACAAACTTGCCAGTCGTCTGCAAGTCCCACTTGTCACACCTGGGTTTCACCTGAAATGGCCACCACGAGGCGTCGTGCCACGAGTGCCTCCAGTACAAAGCACGCTTGGAAAGCGCGACCTTGGGCGATAGCCGGGAATGGCGCCCCCCGTGGTGCCCTTGGCTCGCAGAGGAGTAGGCGACGTTGGCTCTTCCTTCGTGTTAGCAAGTCCTCGAAATGGATTGAAGATGTTTTCCAACGCGATTCAAGATACCAGAAAATGCCGAGGAAACGCATTGTCGCTTGGTCTGGGAGCAAGAAATGTCACGGGGGGGGTTGTGTGGTTGTTTTGGCGTGAGGATGTCACTCGGACGCATAGAAGAGCAGCGGCAAGGACCCTTCTTCACACATCCCCCCCCCATACGAGATGTTGGCAGTAGTGATGCCCATCGCACGAATGGACATCTCACTTTCGATAGCGTTGCACAATTCATATAGTACAAAATATAAAAATATACAGTATTTTTACCTTGATGGAGCAATTCGACGAACCATTTTTTGACCTTGGGGCACCAGCGATCGATTGGAAAATTTCCACAGACGCCGTACGACCATACCAAACGGAGCCGAAAGGAAGGAGCGATCCATGGACCGCCATGTGGCGCTGCAGGGGGTCGAGTCATTGCTTGCCGAGTAGGTACTACTACGCGATGAAGAACGCGATGTTTGAATGACGGAACTGCGAGTGCATTTCGAAAACAATCCACCTTGCTCTGCACGGGGCTCCACATCTCGTCGAACAAAATGCTACGTACTCCAAGGCGCTGGCGAAACAGCTTCAGTTTCATAACGCACTCAAACAAGTTGACAAGGTCCATGGTGGGCGTCAAGAAAGGTTGCATGATGTTCTTATATGTGCAGCAATTGTGGGGACAAAGGAGGAATGGAGATGAGTCTTCCCAACGCAATGTTGCAAACTACTGGCCATGCACTGGCGTCGTTGAGCTGTGCTCGGAAATCGCGGGTTTCGGCATGCAGTCCGCTGGAATTTGTGCAACCAACGGCGTCCAGACTTCTACAATACAATGACCTGTTAAACTGGATATATATCATTTGATTAGAAGTGAGAGGGAGAGCAGTTTAACTCGACGAAGACATTCGGGACATGAACGATGGCTTCGTCCGCTGTTGCATGACTGCGACAGCCTTGGCGCAAGAGTTCCAGCAGGGCTGCGGCCACTTCGACTATGTGCTTCGAAGAGGAAGATGCCCATTTGAACCAAAACCTCGTTCCCTTGGAGCTCTGACGTAGGTTTTTCCGCATCCATTTTCCACATCCATTGTTTTGTCGACATTTCATCGGCACATAAGTCCACGTTGAAGATGGCATCTTTGGGACTGACATCAGTCACCATTTCCACATTGCGAGCCTCCATGCAAAGCCAGTGGCTGGTCATTGTCACCATGATCGCGACGCTTTCGCCGATCGCCGGCGCGCTAGACTGCGGCGACGACGTCTTGCCAGTTCTAGCCCAAGCATTGTCATCGTGTGCCACTGCGGCGTTTGGCAAGTCCGACGTGTGGAACCCGTTCTTCACACTCGTCACGGAACTTCGGAAGCCCGAGTCGTTTGTCCTGGCCGACTTTTGCTCGAACAGCCTCCCAGGTTGCGCCGACCTCGTCGCGTTGAGTAAGAATCGATCGTTCGACTGCTCGTGCTGGCTGTACAAGTCTACCGTGATCAACGTGTACCAGGAAGTGCCGCAGCTGTGCGCCAACATGCATCCCACGAGAACCATCCAACTCTTCACGCGGAACGACAAGGTAGTCACGGTGCAGGGGCAAGCGTTGGTGGCGAGTCCTCGATTGACTTCGTTCAACCAAACGTTTACGTTCGACCTCGCCACCCATCGCATCGAAAGCGACGCACTGTGTGGCCAGTATTGTGTGGAAGCGACGCCGTCCGGACTTGATTTGATCTTGGCCCCGTGCGATGACACTCAAACCAGGCAACAATGGATGGTCCAACCGTACTTAAACCGCGTCAAGAGCATGCACGTTTCCAACTTGTGCCTGGCCACCGATCCGTTTGCAACCAACTACGCGATTCGCCTGGAAGCATGTGATCCGGCGTTCCCGGCGCGGCAGTTCTTCACAACGTCCGTGCCTTACGACAACGGATGCCCCGCCGCCGAGTACGACGTCGACTACGAAGGCAACGATCTGGAAAACCGACCGATAGAACAGCCCAGCGCGTGCTGCCTCAGCTGCCACTGGCACCCGACCTGCCGGACGTACTCTTGGGCGGATGGTGTGTGCTACTTCAAGAGCGCGTTCAACACGTCCAACGCGGTGACGAAACCCGGTGTGGTGTCTGGGGTCGTGACCAAATGCAGCACGTGGTCCGAAGCGTACGACATCGACGGGAAGGACATTGCGTCGGTCCAGGCGCCGACCAAAGAGAGTTGCTGCAGCATTTGCCAAGCAACGCCGCGGTGTCGTGCGATGTCATGGAACAATTACCAAGGCGGGACGTGCTGGCTCAAGTCTGGCTACAGCGACTACAAGCCCGTGGACGGCGTCTGGTCTGCGTTCGTTATAGACTGAGTGTCCCTTGTATTTATTGACGGTTGTAATGAAATGGATGGTTATCGCCAAAGCAACGAGCGGCGTGTGGCGCTGCGTCCGCTAATTGTCGAGGGAGCGTCGAGATGCAGCCCTGTGTACACGAGCTCTATCCAAACCATGCAAGGGTATTACCAGCAGATTGCAAGTGCCTCGTCGCTTGACGCCGGTGTTTGGCCGAGAATATCCCTCGCGGAAAGTGTCAGAGGGCGGCCGACAGCGCGTGTGCGAACGGTTTCGCTGGTGAAAAACGGCCCGCATGACCGACATGTTTCAATGGGAGCGTCAGCTAGCGTCAAGTACCGGCAGCTCGACGACAAGTACCATGTTCAGGAGAAGCTCCAGACGATCGAGACCAAGTGCATGGTGCTGCTGCATGACGCGGCGCGGCGCAGAGACTTGACACGGCACCAACTTCGCGTTCTCGTGGCCGAGTTGAAGGCGAAGGAGGTCCAATTCGAGCAACTCGCCCACGAAAAGATCTTGCCGATTCTGATGGCGCTGCAGCCGTATTACGATAAATACCAACCGATTGTGAAAAAATATGCGGCCGTCGGCGTCCGCCATACGAAGCGTCTCGTCCGCACAGTCGACGATGTTGTCACGACCACGACCCTCCAAGCGCTGTACCAGGCGAGGCGGCAAGTCGTGTCCCAGCTTTCCGTCGCCACCATCTCCGCCTACTTTGACATTCCACTGACAGAGTACATCCTCGATGACAGAACCATCCTACAAATCGTCGAGACGCCCTCATCGTCTTCGTAGTGTCATCCGTCTCAACGTGTCCAAGCGGCGGTACACCGTTCAAAACTGCGGCCCCGACCTCCGCCACCAAGAAATCGAATGGACATGTGAGATCACGGACCCAACGGTACGCCCAAGTCGCGGCCACACGTTTGTAAGAAGGTCGTAGCGCAGCTGATTGAAAAGCTGTTCAAGCTGCAGTGGGTGCCGTGGAAGCCCACGGCGTCGACAGCCGTCAAACTCACGGAAACGTACATGTTGGACGTGCAGTACTATGCGCGCAATGAATACTCGATCAAAGTGGCTCACCACACGCAGCTACGTGCAGGTCCGTTCGGTTCCCCGCCGCCCGGCTTGATTCGGCTTCCTCCACAGGCCGCAAGTGGATTGCTTTGGACTCACGGCACGACAACGTGTCGGCACCCATCAAGTGGTTGCAGCGAGTGGACTACAAGGAACGCGAGAAGCGTAGCACGCTCTTCTACGACCTCATCAGTCAAATCTACTCTGACATGCGCCGCGAGTACTTGTGTTCCCTCGATCGCGAAGACGAAGCGCGCGCGGCGGCAGCGGCTGCCGCAAGACCACCGCCTCCAAAACTCACCGTGTTCACCCCCGAGCTCATCAAGCGGACACTTGCAACGCTAGCGGACAAGTTCATGGAGGAAGATCGGTTTCTGTTCTACACGCTGGGGGAATACGAATGCTGGCGCATGGAAGGAGAAGATTTGAAGCAGCGGGGCGACTTGACGATCGGTGAAATGTACGAGCTATTCGAGATGGAGAAGCAGGACGACCGCCAGCGCGCGTTTGCGATGGAGCTTGTTGAGCTCGGCGAACGAGTGGCCATGGAAGTCGAGGACGTGAACCGAGGGGAATCGAAGCACGAACGAGAGTGCGGCATGATGCACCGCCACGACATCAACGTCGAATCGGACGACGAGGACGGCTAGATCGCGGCGAGCAATCGTAAACACAACAAAGCGTTTCGGTTCCAAGTGTCTCCATGGGATAGATGGGGAGTGTGGGCTCATGCCACATGCACGACAGGTTCGTTTGTGTGGCCTGGGTGCATCTCCCCGCTAGTGGCACGAACGGCCTCATCCAATCCTAGTTTGGATGGTCTCTGTTCAAGTCACTCCGTTGGCGCTCTCTTTACGGTGCGATAGGTGGGTGCACTTGGCAGATTTTACTTGGTCTCAAGAGGAAAATGGTCTCGAGGCGGGTCGTGTCGGGGCCGACACAACGGGGGAGTGGGGGGCGAGAGCCACGTGCCGCAGGACGTTGTTTGACGCTGTGGTCGCGGTACTGCGGGACTCATCCCCCGGGTTCAGGGCTGCGGCCCAAATGTACCTGTTGTGTGGGAAAATCGCAGAACGAACTTGCTAAGATTAATTGCAGCGTTGTCAGAGCCCCTGGGAGACCGTTGGCGCAAGCGCGCCGGACGAGAGCACGGTTCCAAGCCTCGTCGGGAACAGCGAGAGGTTGGCCGTTTGGTCGTGCCGCTCCCAGATGGGCCTGTTGACATGGCTGGAGAAGTATCAGCAACTTCTTGGAGTGCCTTCACAGGAGAACCGTAACCAGGCGAGAGGAATATATACCTCATTCGGCCGCCACAGATCCATTGTGTTCTGCACTGTAAATGCATCCAGTGCGCGAGGCTGAGTTGTTTTGCACTACGGGTCCCAAGATGCGAGGCGGTGGCATTGCTACAGAGGATCGAATTCGCCTTGTACAGGTAATCCATGCAAACTTACACCCTTTCCAAAGCATGGCAACACCAAGTTACGGCTTCAGTCCCAACGGAAACTGGCACCGCAGCAGACGTAACGTGTGGTCGGGGTATCAACTCGTTGATAGCACCGCGTGGATATGGCGCCTCATCTCGAGCAGGGAAACAGGAAATGGTCGGCACTTTGCCACTCGACCTTAGGCGGCCACACATGTTGCACGGACTGGCGACCGAGCTCAAAATGGAGAGCAAAAAACGCTGCTTGACTCTGTCTTCATATCTCTGTCAGAGTCAAACTCGGAGCGTAACCTCCTCAAACACGTGCACATGGTAACGCCGGGAAGGTATTTAAATCTCACATCAGGTTGACACGCACATGGCGCCGCCGTCACACCCTCCTCGGCACTCCCAGACGACTCTGCTCGGCCTTCCCCTCGGATGGTTTCAATGGCTCGTTCTCACTGTTGTGTACTCGTTGCACGGCATGTCCACGATGTACTTCCTCAGTGTCGCGTATCTCATGATAAACCTGACGCCGTTTGAGGCGACTGTGATGCGGGCATACGCGCCCCGGCCGTCGTCGATTCTGTTTCTCGGGATGGCATTCTTGCACTTGACTCCTTTCTTGCTTCCTCTTCGTCGGCCGGCAACGTCCGCGATCAGCGTTTTGTTGTGCAAGAGGAGCGCTCGCATCAAGTCGTTGGCGGCCCATGACGGCAAGAATCCCTCCAATTCTACCCTGCAGCTCCGCATTCCCCCCAATGTCTCGATGGCCATCGGCCACTTTTTCGAGATTGTGTCGGAAACGTGGATCGCGGCGCAGATGGCGCAACGCCTCGTCGACCGCCACGTTTCATTTCTGTATGCCATGGTGCTTGCGTCCAACTGCCTCATCACGACCTGGGCGCTCTTGTTTCGCAGCTCGGGGCTAAAGAGGGCACTCATCGGGCTGCTTGACGCGTGCCTCTCGTTCCTCTTATCGGCTGGCATTCCCCTCTTCCTCTTCCTCATTCCTCTCGTCGAGTATAAGTTTTACGGCAGTGGCAACGAGTCTCACAATTTTGTATGGCTCGCGAGGTCTGTCACGTCGGTTCGCACCTTGATTGTGTGGTCCCCGATCCAGCCCGTGATGGTGGTTGTCCCGAGCATCATGAACTACATCGCTTTGCGTGCAGCGACCAAGCGGGTGCGATCCACGGCATCGATACACAACGTTCGCGTGGGGAACCTCCACTCAGGACAGTCGTTGTCAGCCCCGACAGCCAGTTTGGATGGGTCGATGACTGGGAGAGGCAGCAAGCGCGCCTCGGTTCAAGCATATTTGGCCGGTGGAACACAAGCCTTTAGTTGGCACCAAGACCACGCGCGAATTCTGGTAGGGGTGATTGTATTGAGCATTCTGTGGGGGCTGGCTGTGCTGGTCGTGGCGATCGCTGCGGAATTCTACAGAGAACCGTGTCCCCCTGGCTGCGTGCTGGACTCGGCCCCGTGGTTTTCAAGGTCGTGCAACTGTATCTACTTTCGCTGGACGTGCAACGCGACCAATTACCACGACGTCGTCGACGCCAAGCTCAATGCGTCGCAAATCGGTCCAAACCTTCTCTTTCTTCACATCCAAAAATGCAGCTTGCGCCATGGCTTGGCCGCCGACACCGTGTCGCAGTTCCAGTCAATGTACGGATTCCACTTTGAACAAACGGGTATGGTCGAATGGAACATGCCAAGTTCCGCGATCCCAAGCTCGGTCGTGTTGGCTATGATTCGGTACAGTGCGCTCGACCACGTCCCCCTCGCGTTGCAAAACCCTGGGGCCAACCTCCGCTCCATCTTTATTGTGGGGGCGTCCCTTCGCGCCATTCCTGCCCACATCTTCGCGAACTGGCAGCACCTGAATTCGCTCTGGCTCACCTCGACCAACCTGACCGAATTTCCCCCACAGATCCTGCAAATGGACGGACTCGAGGTCCTCGCCCTCGATTCAAACCACATCTCGACCCTTCCCCCCGACCTCCACAAGCTCCCCCTCTTGAATTGGTTGTATCTCGAGTCGAACAACATCTCGGTCTTTCCCGATGCGCTCGTGACGGCCCGCACCGGCGTATACCTCTATCTCAACTACAACCCGATCGACTTCATCGCCGACGACGTCGTCGCGCAGCTCGATCCGTGGTACGTCGACATTTCGTCGACGGTGTTTTGCCAGCAACGGCAGCTGCCTTCGTTGTGCCGCGAGGGCTGTTCAAATACGTGCAGTCCCCTCGATCAAACCAACCACTTTTGCGACCCCCAATGCAACTCGACCGAGTGTAGATTCGACAACGGCGACTGTGAATTTTAAGCCAACAGTCACGTCGGTGGTGATACATCGCTGCGAATGCAGTTTCCCGTTCTCGCCCTTTGGAAGCGATATACTAGTCTCCATCTACCACCATCCTACCACACGAAAGGCACCTTTGCGTTCGCCACGTCGGTGGCTCACTCTTTTTTCACCGTGATCGCGCCGCTTCACAAAGCACGTGAGCGTTTGGGGAAAACTTCACACCACGACGTTGCATCACGTGCGGTTACAAGAGGTACACGCCAAAGCAACCGCCAGTCTTCATGGAGTCGATATCACCCCACATCCCGACCCTTTGTGACCGTTGGCGCAATCGTCCTTGGATGGCACGTTTCGTGCGAAGCGTAACAACAGGCAACGAGACGTCGATCGATGGCACAACTGTCGTAGGCATGAGTAGGCCAGATTAGCTCGACAGAGCTGGTAACAGGGGCGTGGTCGCCAAAGGGCCGGACGCGCCATGTTGTCATTCGCATGGGAGACACGCCCCCTGCCCGACGCGTGCAGCCAGGCAGATGGACAACATTTCTACTGCGGCCCCAAGGACAACGTCGTCAATGCGCATCTCTCTCTCTCTCGTGAGCTTGCGTCGGTCCAGATACAAGTCCGAATCTCGAGCGTCCTCGCAATGACTACAATCCCCCATGCAGAATTGACGCAACAACATCGATTCTACCACGTGATTAGGAAGAGTACCATTCATCCTCTGGTCAAGGTCCAATGGGCGAGCCCCCATTTTCGTGAAACGTGGCGCTGGCCAACGAAGAGGCAGCGTTCGATACCACTTGGATTCGTTTAGCCAGTTTGCCTTTGGTGATGGAATCCGCGGTTTGAGTGATCAGCTCGATTCTGGTCGATGTTTGTCATGACGTCGGGGTGTACTCTGTCCTATAAACATCGCATGAACTGCTTCCTGTTGAAGCACTTCACACGTATGAGTTCCAAAGTGGAGTGCCGGGTAACTTTGCACCTAGAATGACATGTGCACGAATCATGGGGGGACGAGTGAACCACGTCCGAGTGAGCCAAGAGTTCATTGGAACTCTATGATGATCAAGTTCGTTCCATCGGTATTTATAGCCCGCACTGGCCGCACCGCGATGGCAGACGTTGGCGATCGAAAGCACGATGTGTTTGGAGATGGCACGCCGTGCGAAGGCGACGAAGTCAACTTAGACAAACTCCCGTCGGCTTTCATTGCGTCTGTGGAGGCCAGCTTTGCTAAACCGAAGCGGCGAATCAACTTTAACCCGAGTGAGGGAGAGGTCCACCGACGCGAGAGCAATCGGCCGTGGCGCCTCGACGCCCATCGAAAACTCCTCGCGACGAACCAGCGCGCGGAAGAGGAGCAGTGGGAAAAGCGGCGCATTGGACTCGCCAAGCAGGTTCTCCTTGTCTCTGGCGTTCGATTGGAGACGCATGGATTGATCGATCGATGCTAGGTGCACGAAGGGCTCTTGCACAATTTCAATATTTACGTGGGCATTTCCGAAGTCGGAAACATAATCAAGGTTGGCCAGGACCAGCGGCGGCAGGAGCAACAGGGACTTTCCGTCAACAAAGACATTGCCGCATCCGCCATCTTGGTCGCCGCCGAAAAATACGACCTCGCTCGGATCGCCGTGCTGCTCGACAAAGTTCCTAAGAAGTAGGGGCAAAAGCTGTCATAGCTAAGAGTGTATTACACGGAGAAAGTGTGAGGAGTAGTTCTGGAGCGCGCTGCCCCTGCCTGGCTAATCCACAAAGTTTACAAGCTCTCTTCTGGGACATGCGCACTAACGTCCGTGCTTAGCGATCGATGGCCGTATGTCGCGCGAGGAATGCGACGCCTTCAGTAGAGATCTTGTTGCAATACCACAAGTTGATCGAACTCAAGTGAGGCAGCGCCGCTAAGCACCGAACGCCGACGTCGGATAGCTCGGCGCATTCCGCAAGGTTTAGGGACTTGAGGGTTTGAATCTTGGCGAGATAAGGCATGGCGTCGTCGGTGATGAGGACGCAATTCCCCATGTCGAGGCGTTCCAGCGCCGGTAACGTTGACAGACACTGAATCGAGGCGTTCGTGAGCTTGGAGCAGCTCGCAATGTCCAAACTCTCTAGTTTGGTCAGCGCGGCCAACGCGGCAATGCCCTCGTCGGTGAGACCGTGGCAATACCACAATACCAGCGATTTCAATCGGACAAGGCGGCCCAGGATGGCACAACTCTTGTCGGTGAGGAGGCGGCAGTTTGCCAAATTCAGTGTTTGGAGGTTCACGAGATCCTTGAGGTGCACGATGCCAACATCGGTGATCTGGCTGCACCGCATCAAGTTAAGCGATTCCAATTGCAAGAGGTAGCGGATTCCCCTGAGTGCGTGGTCGCCGAGTTGGCGGCAATTTGACACGTCGAGAGCTTTGAGCTTTACTAAAGGCGCTAGCGCGACCAAACCAGCGTCCGAAATCCCCGGACAACTTGCCAGTGCGAGCCTTTCGAGCTGCGTCAAGTTTGAAATGGCCGCGATCCCAGCATCCGTGATAACGTCGCAGTTGCCAAGGTCCAGAGTGGTCAGCGCGTGCAACCGCGCGCCCATGAGTTCCAGAGAAGCGTCTGTGAGCCGCAGGACTTTCATGCAGTTCAAAACGGTGATGCGCGACGATCCTTGCACGAGCGACGTGACGGTATCGTCGGTCAGGTTGGAGCAATACCAGAGATTCAACGATTCGAGGCACGGGAAGTGGCGCAACATGGCCGTGCCAGCGTCCGTGATGGAGTAGCACCCCGACAGATCCAGTGACCTCAAACACGACAACGTATGCAGCTGCCACAGACCTTGGTCGGTGACGTCGCCAACGTTGGCCAGTTCCAGCGTCTCCAGTTTCGAGCACCGCGTGATCGACATGAGGGCACGGTCAGTGATTTGACTGCAGTTGGATAGCGTCAACGCAGTCAAGTTGGCGAGTTGGCCAACGTATTTGATCGCTTCGTCCGAGAGCTGGCCCTGGTGGCAGTACCACAAACTCAGTGTTGTCAGGGCAGGCAGGTTGATCAAGTCTGCGCAGGCGTGGTCGTCGATGCCTGTGCAGCTCGTCAGGTTCAACGATGTTATGGATGGTGGCAAGTCAGCAAGGCTAGTGAGGCGGCTGCAGTAGCCCAAGTCCAGTACCGAAAGTAGGGGCAAATAACGAAGCAGAGCCAGCGTGTCGTTGGTGATGTGGTCGCATCCCCTGAGGTTCAGCGTCTGCAGCTTGAGTAGTAAGCCCAATCCGCACAGCCCAGCATTCGTAATAGCACTACACCCGGCCATGAAGACGCTGGATACGTTGGGGAACATCCGCAGGAGCCTGTCGACGTGTTCGTCGTTCACGCCTCCACCGGCAGGCTCCAAGTCGAGGGTTCTTGTCACTTCACGCAGTTCACGGCGGATCCACGAACACGTCGACGCGAGTTGAACCCACTCGCTCGCGCAGCAGTACGCTGCCAGAACTGGCATCTGCACCACCACCACGAGCAGGTCGACATTGCTAGCTGTCGAAGTCGTCACCCCTGTCTTTGAAAGAACCGATCCACGCGAGTCTCTCATGTGCGACTCGCGTGTCAAGGATGGCCGCGGCAGAGCCCAGAACTTGTCCGCTGTGAGGAGTCCTCGTCCCATAGCTGCAATTGGCAGAGTGGCCGTCAAGCGGTGCGAGAGTGCACCGGTGCAGAGAGCGAGCCATGTGTACCAATGTCGGTCGACATCACTTGATTGGGAGCTAATTAGTGTTAGCCACGGTTTCACTTTGGGGATGGGGTGGGCTGGTGCGCACCGATTCGGTGCGTACATACTAGTCTGTGCTTGGAAATGCTGCCAGCACTCCCTTACTGTTGCGACTGTCTGGAGCCTCTCAAAACCTGAGGTCCCCTGGTACGCACAAGGCGGTCGTCCAGGCCCAGCCCGCTTTCCCCCTGACACGTCAATCTCTTCATGTTTCAGCTCGTGGATTTAGCGTCAATAAGACCCTGATGAAATCATCCCGTGACGGGTTTCACCTCATTCATGCGTCGACAATCGCATTGGAATGTCGAGAATGGTCTATCTCGTCTAGACTTGAAATGACGTGAACCAAGGCTCCGTCGCGAGCGAATTCTATTACAATCTGGACGTTGGCGCGCTGTCTGCACTCGGTCCGGTGGTCTTGGGCCGCGGTCGCGCAGTGACGAGGGCGTCCAGGAAGACGCAGACAGCATCGTTGTAGGCGAGCGTTCGAAGAGACCGGATCGCGTTGAACGCGTGCTCGGCTTGCGGCACGGGGACAAATATATCTGGGACCGCGTTCGTACGACCCGTATGCTCGCGATGGCGCTGCAGCGCGTGGTAGAACTCGCGTGAATCTTCAAACGGGATCACCGAGTCGTACGTGCCGTGGACGCACAGGAATGGCGGAACGAGCACGGACGGTTTATGGTGAAGAAGGTGGTAGTATGGCGATGCGAGCTCAAACGCCGGGCGGTTCGTGCACAATCGGCTGTTCATCAGGACGGCTTGGACGTAATTGCGGTACTTCCTCCTATACCGTTGGTGAGACTTCAATCGATACAGGTAGAAAACGGCAGCATGCGCTGCAGCGATGGCGGCTCGTCGGGACCCCCCAACAAGTGGAGTCAATCGAGCGCTTACGGGATATCGATACGTCCGTAATGGCCAAACCGGTCCGTGAGATCGTGCGTGCCGTATGCATCGATACATGCCATGACGGAGCAATCAGCGTTTTCGAACCCGGGCTGGAACGACCTGTCGCCAACGTTAGCAAGAGCTGTGGTGTCCATCGGTGCACAAACTTATCGTCGGCTGTGATGGCTAAAAGCGAAGCCAAATGACCACCGGCCGACTCGCCGCAGACTACGATTTTCCTGTCCGCGACGAGTTAGACCTTCGTCATACAGCATTACCCAAGTTTTGATCGGGATTCTTACGATGTGTCTGCTCGGAGCGTCCGTGACGACGACCGCAAGTATGCCACAGCGCGCTTGCAGTCGATCAGGTGGTCTGGAAAGCTCACAAACGGCGCTTTGCGGTAGTCCATGGCGCAGAAAAGCCATCCCTTTTGCGCAACCTAGAACGGCTTGGACTTGACAGATGAGTTGTTGATCGTACGTACAGCATGGAGCAAGGATGATGGGATCATGCTCTTCGAGCCAAGCATCCACCCTCCGCCATGGATGAACAGCAGTACAGGCGGCATGGCCGCGCAATTGTGATGACGGTACACGTCCATCTGCAGCGCATGCGGCAACCGCTCGCCGACCCAGCCATACGTGACCGTTTGGATGTGTCCAGGAAAGTGGAATGCAAATGGGAGCGGGTTCCATACACTCCACCACTCGTTCCACGTCCGATTTCCAATGCGTCGGTCGGCGTCCACGGGAGACACCAAGCCATGCTCGATAAACGCGCGTCGAAAGGCATCTGCGCTGTTGGCGTTGGTCATGGCAAGGTGCGCCAACCGCCCGAGGAGTAGCAAGTGGGTGGAGACTAGCCCCGCATCGAGCCATGTTGCTTGAGATGGTTGGCGCTTGGACAGTCTTCGAAGCCACGTCACCACGGCGGCTGCATTGCCTGCGAGAAGCAAGTGGGCGTACTCGCCCGTCAGCATTTGCAAGATGAATCCTTCCATGCCCTGCACAGCAGGTACAATGAGTTTCATAGGCTGAAGCCCGACCCGCACCTCGAGAACGGGAGATCGTCGCTGCGTCTTCTGCACGACGCGGAGCATGACAAGAAGGTAGACGACATGGATTGCTTTTGACGTTGGTGTCATGCTCAACTGCAGCAATCGATGCATGTCAGGCGAAATCTGGCAAATTTCAATGACATATGCACTACTTTATTGGACAGTTTTTGGGAATTTCATGTATTCATCGACCAGTGACAACGCTACGTTTCAACTTAATAACATTACTTGTGGCAATTTTGGCCAATTGAACGCAAGGAGTGGAGTCAACAAAACATCAGGAGAAACCACAAATTTCAATCACAACAGTCTCGTGTGGTAGAGCATATGGTAGAATACACGGCTACAGTCGAAAGATCGAACAGAAATTCCTATGGTGCTGTCAAGATTACATCGTATCATTCATATATATCGGTTTACAGTTATTGAGGCCATCTACGATCTAGGGGACCAGAATACATATCTTGAGCAATTTTTACACTGGGAGAGAAAATTTGCTGTTCTCAGGACTTGGCGTCATTAAAACACCATCCATTAGATTTCACTGCTAAAACGAAATATCCTGCGATACTTGCATCCGAAAGGCGCGCCAACACTTTAACTACAGACAAATGCCTTGATATTTTTCGCCATCATATACTGAACTTCTCCGCAACAACTGTGGTAAAGTTACTCCAATGATTGCACGCCTACTTGGCTGCAGTCCAAAGGTTGTAACTCTGTACAATGAAACTGTTATTCGAACAATGCGGGATCACCGTATGCAGGTGGATCACAATCCCGCGGGAATACAGCCCTTCGAGAAAGGACGCCCCAACGCTAGCTCCGCGTCGACAACCCATGGCGACATCAGCTCCATCTTTGTGTTGCTTTAGCCCACCGTCGGAAAAACACGGGAGCGCCTTCGTACAGTGCAGTTGTAGGCTCCAAAAATGACTCAGCCTCATCCAACCCCAGCCACAATACGAACCTCGAAGCGGCCAGCGCTGTCGCGAATTTTCTTGAGGTTTACCACAAGCAACTCACTGTCTCCAAAGGCAGCATGCTCAAGGAGATCCTCGGCAACGACACGACCCGATTCGGATTACAACTTGAGACGACTGGCGTGGTGGATGCTAATGGCAAGCTAATATATAAACTCCTGGACAACCATCGGGTGATCCGAGTGGACCCGAGCCACAAGGCATGGACACTGAAGTGGAGGGAACATTTTTTCGGGAGATGAGGCACCCAAACGACCAACACGAGGTCGCCCAAGGCCATGCACGTCTGGCTTGTTTGCCATCTGTACTTATTTCTTCTCGCGATTCGATGCAGAAGAATTAACCTTGTGCTTCTGGTCAAGGGCGGCAACCATCTCTTGTAGTTGATGTTGCTGGCATTTGTCAGCCACATTAA